CTCTCTCTCTCTCTCTCTCTCTCTCTCTCTCTCTCTCTCTCTCTCTCTCTCTCTCTCTCTCTCTCTCTCTCTCTCTCAGTACCTCAAGTCCATCCCCTTCCCCCTCACAAAATTCAAGCCAAAGCCATCTCCCTCCCCGCCTTCCCCCTAACCACCATCCTCCCACCACCATTCCCACCCCTCTCATCGACATCCATACGAATCAAATCGTCATCCCTCTCAAATTCCTCCGCACAATGTTCCTTCCCCAAATGCGCAACCAAACTATCCACGCCCCGACACAAACAATCGCGATCTCGAAATCGATCACAAAGCACACACGCGAATTCGCCTCGTTGAGGCGTATGGCATTTTGTAATAAAGCGCGCGTCGAGGCGGTAGTCTTTTGTTCTACTACTGTGATTATTATTATTGTTACTGGAAGGGGAATGCGTGGAGAGGACCCAGACGTCGCGCGTGTCGACGGGGATGGTGTGGGAACATGTGGGACAGCGGTGAGAGCCGGAGGATTTGAAATTGGGATGGAGAGGGAGATGGCTGTTTTGGAGGTCGGAGGCGTAGCGGCAGAAGAGGTCGTTGGGAGGGGCGGGGAGGGATTTGATTTCGCGGACTTCGCGGACTTCGCGGATTTCTTTGATGGGCCGAGGGTTGTTGGCGGAGGAGGAGCGGGGTGGTGAGGGGATGTGTGAGGGTCCGAGGGGTGGGGCGGGAATGGGGATGGGTGCGATGAAGCCGGGATTATCATTTGTTGCTGCTGCTACTCGAGAGGGGGCGCGGGATTTGGGAGGTTCGGTTTTGGTGGATTTGGGAGGGGCTTCGGATTTTGCTGGGGCGGGTCTATTGGAGATGTTTAGTTCAGGTAGAGTTGGATAGCTCAACTTATTGCGAGTGGATGGGCGTATATACATACCTGGACACTGGTGCTTCTGACTTGGCATAGACAGATTGTGTTGGCGCTGCGCTCTTTGCGCCACCGACACTTCTTGCGGGCTGTGCATATGCCTTTTCGGATTTGACGCCTTCTGCTCGGGAAGGCACTACACTTTTGACGGCCTGAGTGGACGCCTTGACGGATTTTGCTCCCCCAAAAGGATCGTCGTATTTCTCTTGCGGAGGTTTCCAATCGGCCTGATGCGGTAAAGACTTTGCCTTGGGAACTTCAGTCTTGGTTGATGAGGGTCTGGGTTCACTTGCTGGTGGTGGCGGCGGTGGTCCTTGTGATGCCGCTCGGGATTTCCCAGGTTCTGCCTTGGTAGATCTACTGTCTCTCTCCGCAGGCCGTTGACTCTGCATAGGCAATGATCGAGATGTCGCCACGAACTCATCGGCATGCACTGATCGGTTCCGACCTCCGCCCACAGACGCTCTGGAGTTCTCGGCCGCATATACAGACTTGGTCCTCTGAGGCGCGGCTTGCTGGGGAAGTGGCGGCGGCGGCGAGTAATCCATCGGATTCCTCTCTTCCAGGTGGCGGCCCAGGCCCGGCTTATGTTGGAAGTCATCATTCGGCAAATTCGCCAAGTAGGAGTCATGTCTCGAGCCAGCAACGCTCTTGGAGGTATACGATCTGGTCTGATCCTGTCGTACTCCAGCAGCAACACTCATCGGAGGTCGGTCCTGGCTCGGTCGCTGACCACGCGGCAGATCCAATGGTGCAGGCAGTGCTCGATGCTGCTCTTCAGGCGGGAGAGGCTTCGTTGCTGGTGCTGCTGCGGGTAGTATCATGCGCTGATAGTGATCGCGTAGCGTATCGACTGTGCCATCTCGAGCGGCTTCTTCCGCAGCAGCCACGAGTTTTGCGACATCTGCCTCAGTGAGGTTGGGGTTTTTGGACATGGCATCACGGATGACTCCGACGACGACGTGTTGGACTCGGGCACTGACTTCGGGTTCGTCGTAATCGTCGCGGCGGGGTCGTCGTCGACTGGGACGATCGCTATTGGATCGCGACCGTGACCGTCGTCTGGATCTGGACCGGGATCGGGACCTCGATCGCGATGGGCGTGACTTCTTCTCCCCTTTCCGGGCATCCTCATTGGTATTATTGAGCTTCTCGATCTGTTCCTTCAATGCCTTGAGCTCTTCGTTCTGTCCTTTATCTGTCGCTTCCTGCTTGTTCTTTGCCGCTCGCTCCTTGATCTTGTCATGCAGCGCCAGACTCGCAGTAAAAGTGCCAATGATAGTGGATGCCAATGTTGCTATGATGAATGTTTTCTGTGCGCATGTCTCTGTCAGTGCTGGAGCAAAGGATCATCATCATCCTCATCCTCATCATCATTCCCTCGTACCGGTAGCTGCGATACTCACTTTGAGGTTCTTCTCCTCGATCATATTAGAGTAATTCATGTTGGGCTTGAATCCCTCGGCCTAGACGCAAACGACGGTCAGCGCAAAGAGAAAGGATGGAGCGCGATGCGCGTCGGAGCGTCTTGCCATGATGTATGGCTGAGATTGACTAGCCCTCGGATAAGATAAGTAAGAATGATGTTGGGATGCACAAAGATGTCAGGATGATTTCGGGACTAACGGTCGGTCCTGGCGGTACGTGCTTGGAGAGGTGACCGGTGACCCCAAAGTCCATAGAGGTCGGTATTATTCAACGATTTCGACTCGGTCTCGATCGAGTCTACCATGGTGCAGCGACATCGCACTGGCGCCGAATAGCGCATGTTGATTCGATGTCTGGCGGGAGCTCCTCAGGATATCCCTGGCAAAGGGGTGTATCGACGGGCATGAAAACAAGGCTTTTGCGTGAATAGCGTTGGGCAGCATAATTCGTTTTTGGGCTCGTATGCGGCCACGACGAGTGCCGAGATATCGTCGGTCGGTGTAACTGTAGGAAGTCTCATTCTTTGGCGTGTTACAGAAATGTTGCACTGTTGCAGCTCGGGCGCTGTTAATAGCAGCGTGAAACGACCGCGGTGTTGCACCGTGCAGCGATATCACTCTGAATTGTCGCTCCATCCAAAAAGTCGTCATTTCACAAAGTAGGTTTATCGCGCAACGGAGGCCCCTGTCGTGTCGATTCGTGTTGTGTCTTGTCGTTCCACGTAGCATTATTGGCAGACAGGCCTTATATGTGCCCATCCCATGTGATTCCCGTCGTGTGCCGCTGCCGCGAACCTAATTCGAAGCCTCCAGTCTGTAGGTATAACAGTATCCTACCGCCCGATCCATCTTACGAAGCACCTCCGGTGCCCACCCTTCCCAGCCACTACCGTCCACGGCCAGACTCTTCACTGCAGAATTGCCAGCTCCAGACCTCCTGGGAGTTTGTGATGTGGAAAGGGCAGACCAAGTAGTAGTGCTGAGTACACGGACTGGTGCGAGTCTCCAGACTGCTCCCCCCGCGTGATCAACCACACTACTGCTGTTCTGCGTCTACTTGGTGACTTCATGTCTGCACAGTACAGGTAGCTCCCACCCCCTGCCACCACCGCACAGTACCTCCTACAGGTACTCGCATGTCTGATCCTAGGAGGTGGTGCGGAGTTGGTGATCGCCCGATCTGGTCTTCTGCTGTGCACGACCACTGTATCGTTCGTTTTCCGACGCTGGACCGGAGGGCTGGGCAAAGGTTCTTCACAAGGCCGTCGTCCCCTCTGGGCCAGGGCAAGTAAGTACGTGTACCTGCAAGCTGTCTGTCGGTCACCGTGGAGCTTCATCGTGGACCGGGAAGCACGCGGTCAGCGGCGAGACGCTTGCGCGTACTGCTGTGGTGTTGAAGAGAGAGAGCACGAAAGCACTGGTGGCGCAGCAGTTGACGACCTCTCAAGGCTCATCTCAACAGTAGTTACTGTATCATGTTAGAGCTGCTCGTTAATTCGGTCGAAAGTACTTGTCGTAGCCGGCTTCATGGGAGTTCTGGTATCGCCTGGGATGCAAACAGGACACACGCAGTCTCACGGAAGCTGTCTAGAGGCAGTGTGTCGCGTGTAAGAAATAATAATCATGCAGGGGGCCTATTGACAGGTACATGTAGTTCTACTGTATTCATGATGCTGGATACATTATCTGGCAGAGCGATCGACTATCTAGCCTCTCGGAGATTATGTGCTGGGCCTAGCGAGTGTAGGTTACCGCTTTTCCTCCTGCGATGAAGAACTTGGCCTGCAACCGTTCTGAACTAGTTTGATGCTACCAAGTTACGGAGTTGTCTCCTTCACATGATCGTGGAGAGAACGACCTATGTACCCGACAACGACCCGTGGACGACGACGACGACGGAGTGGCGTTGGTGTCAGAAGTCCCTGCGCTGACGCTCACCGCATCGTCGTCATGAGCGTGCCAAGATCGGTCGGTCGGTCGGACGGGTGTAGGCTCATCAGCGCCGTGGACATGCCAGCAATAAGCATGCCACTGCACGGCGAAAGCTTGGTCGTGGTGCCAATACAGATACAGTCCCACAGCCATGTGCTTATTTCGCACAACAATCGTCAGCAGTGCTCCCTCATCTTCCACCAATGTACTACCTCCTACTGCATACCGTACAGTACCTATCCTCATGTCGTTGCGATCGTCCTGCCAAGGCGCCTCTCCGTCCAACAATGGCGCTTGCGAACCCAGATGGATAGAATTCATGGCTTCACCTGTGACGTGGACCAGCGGCAGACACAAACCTGAAGGCTGAGATGGTGCATGTACCTACAGGTCGTACTAGGAGATAGTGGTTTGTTGTTGTTTTTTCTGCTGGCAATCGCATCGCGTCGCATACCACTACCGGCCTAGGTACCAACCTGCTTGATCGTGGCTACGGGGAAGGCTCCCATCCACCGTTGGTGCGTCGAAGTATCAGGCCGAGCTAGATCTCCCTTCCCGTCCCCGTTGGCCCTTTGATGGTTTGGACATCCACATCCTAACCGCCAGCTGCCAGCCGCCGCGCCGCCGCACCTCGCCTCACCTCTCCCTGAACTCACGATAGGAGGTGGTGGGAGGTACTAAGTAGGTAATGTCGTAGTAATGAACATGGGCATACATCCAGGTTCATATGTACCTCGGTGTACTAGGTAAGGCAGGTCAGTACAGGTCAGTTAGGTAGTGGGCACAGCAGTTGGACAGCACGCCCACGCATATTTGATGACGATTGAGCAGTCAATGCGCCACTACCTGCTGCGCCTGCCAATTTCCTGATCTGCCATCGCAATTGGCGGGTCAGCCTCCTTGCGCCACACTACTCTACAACGACGATCACAGCAACGAAGCTTCATAAAGAGACGAACGGCGGCCTCTGACCGTTTTGCTGTTTCACACCCGACGTCAACACCTCTGCCTCTGCCTTCAGGCTGCACCACTTACTTCACTCGGGACTCTACCTTCACAGGATCCCCCCCATCTCCGAAGCTCAGCTTCACCATCGTACCTCCTACCGCCACTCCACTACCTCCCTACTTCGGCCGGCGTTCGCATTTGGGGCGCAGCAGCTGAAGCTTACACCGTCGCCTCCTACACGCTCCTCCATCACCCACTTACCCTGATTTGATTTGCGCCCTTCTCTCTGCGCCAGTGCCCACACTCTGCCCTCCCTCAACCGAGCCCAGGTGGAGACCGCGGCGACAGCGGAGACAGCAAGGAGGCGCAGCACGCCACCGCACCGCTCCCACCACACACCACCATTATGCGTATGTTACTTGTTGCTTTCGCTGCCCTTCCATCCTAGCATGCGCATGCCCTTCCGCCGACATCCATACTAACGAGACATGTGGAGCGCAGACAGGATTAAGCATGCCGCGCGAAAATCCGCTTGGCACAACGATCCCAGCGACCCCAAATACTCCACCTACAATCCTTTCGGACGCATGAACACGAACCCACGAGCGCGCGCCGCAGGGGATGAGGAAAATGGGTTGCGACAGGTGCAGAGTGCGCCGCACGCCTCGTCGCCTGTGGACACCCACGGCAAGTCGATGGACAACGGGCCGCAACAAACACAATACCACCACAACACCTTCCCCATGACGGCGGAAGACGAACACGCAAACCAGCACAACAGAGGCATCGAGACGTTTCAGAAAAGCACGCCCTCGGAAAAGGCCAATTCGGGCCAGACGGACACGGTCCCACCGAGCACGATCGCCGAGTCCGCTGGACCTGCCAGCACCGATGGCAAACCCAGGAAACGCAAGCTACGTGCCTTTCTGCCCTTTGGCAAAGGAAAGCATGAGGAAGATGAGGAGCTCGCGCGCATGAACACGGAAAAGTCAGAAAAGTCCAAAAAGAAGCGCCCCAAGCTCAGCCTCATGAGCCAGGTCAAGGCCGTCTTTGGCTCGTGGATCAACATTCTTCTCGTCTTCGTCCCCGTGGGAATTGCACTCAACTATGCTCTGCCTCATGGCGAGGACGCCCCCAAGACCAATGGAATCATCATCTTCGTCATGAACTTCATCGCCATCATTCCGCTCGCCGCGGTGCTGTCGTACGCCACCGAGGAATTGGCCATGTATATCGGAGAGGTTCTGGGTGGCCTCCTCAACGCATCCTTTGGAAATGCCGTCGAGCTCATTGTGAGCATCATTGCCCTCATCCAAGGCAAAGTGTTGATCGTGCAGACGTCACTGATCGGCAGTATGCTTTCGAACTTGCTGCTGGTCCTGGGCATGTGCTTTTTCTTTGGTGGTATCAACCGATCCGAGCAACACTTCAACATTACCGTCGCGCAGACTGCCTCATCTCTCCTGGCCCTTGCCATTGGCTCTCTGATCATTCCTACTGCCTTTGGTCTGTTCGCAAATGGAACGGGCGTGCCCACCACGGATTCGGGAGTGACACAAGCATCGCGCGGCACTGCAGTCTTGCTTCTCGTGGTCTATGGTGCCTACCTCTTGTTCCAGCTCAAGACTCACCAGAGCATGTACAACGAGCCCTCGAAGAAGACGCCGAAGCGCTCTACCGGCAGGAAGGATGCGGGTGAAGCCAACAAAGCAATGGCTGTCATGGGCGCTGCTCCTGGTGCCGCCTCTGCCGGTGGGCGAGTGAACGCAGAGAACCTCATCCACGAAGAGGAAGAAGAAGAGGAGACGCCTTCGCTCAGTGTCATTGGCGCCATCATCACGCTCCTGATAGCGACCGTCTTCATCGCCCTCTGCGCCGAGTACATGGTCAGCGCCATCAACGCGGTCGCCAAGTCGGTCTCCCAGGAGTTCATCGGACTGATCCTACTGCCGATTGTGGGCAACGCAGCGGAGCACGCCACCGCAGTGACGGTCGCCATCAAGGACAAGATGGATCTCTCCATCGGTGTTGCGGTGGGAAGCTCGCTGCAGATTGCCCTCTTGGTCCTGCCCATCATGGTCTTGCTCAGCTGGTTCGGCGTGGGCGCAAATGTGGATCCTCCCAACTCGACGCTGAACCTCGACTTTGATGGCTTCCTCGTGGTCGTGCTGGTCCTCTCCATTTGGCTGGTCAACTACCTCATCAACGATGGCAAGTCACATTGGTTGGAGGGTGTCATGCTGATGATCACATACCTCATTATTGCCATCAGCGCGTGGTTCTACCCCGTCACGGGAGAGGTCGCCGGGTGAAGAGACGACGGATTCTTTTGCAATCATAATTCCATATACACGTCCCGACAGACGACTCCCGCCAAGCACCAGCTTTGGCGTGGGCCACAAAGCCGCTCCTGGCGCGAGCACTCCGGCGTCGAGCGAACGCTGTGGTGGAGTGCAATCGCTTGGTACAGAGCGCCCTTTTCATCCGTGTCGGCACATGACTTTTCAAAAGGCATGCCGACTTCATGCATACGTCCGCGAACGGGACACATGGTTTTTTTACTACCTTTTCCCTTGTAACCAGACAGCAAGATCTGCCGCCACAGGCTGGCGAAACATCCCAACATGGAGGGGAGGCTTTTTTTCTCGTAGCGTTTTGGTATGTGTGCAAGGACACCATGAACAGAACTTGGCACATTGGCGAGGTGGCGCGCACATGGGGGTGGAAGGAAACCACTTACACACTTCAAACCTACCCAATCGATGCGAATTCGGTAGTTGTAGTAGTAGTAGTAGTAGTAGTAGTCGTAGTCTAGTGCAAATAGGGCACTCTACCTGACTACTTTCATTGTCGAAATGACAGTGATCAAGATCAAGACTGCATTTTATACATTGTTGTAGAAAAAAAAGTCTATCTTGGGGAAGAAAAGGTCTGAAAATGAGTGGGTGATTTTTCTTTTTCCAATTTTCGATTTCGATTTCGATTTCGATTATTTCTTTATTCTTTATTTCTTTAATTTTGAATTTTGAATTTTTATTTTCATTTTAAAAGCTGGCTGGCATTGCGAGGGTTAGTTGTCTGTCACTAATGACTAATCACTGAGGTGGTCACTGAGGTGGTCACTAGTATGTAGTCACTACAGGTCAATGAGTGAATGATCATAGCAGCTTTCAATTGTTTTTGGTTTAATCTTTTGGGGAAGTCAAGCGGCAAGTATCTCATCTACGCTCTCTCTCTCTCTCTCTCTCTCTCTCTCTCTCTCTCTCTCTCTCTCTCTCTCGTTCGTCAGAAGATGGGTGATTCAATGCCTTATTTTTTTTTCTGCCTTTTTCTGTCCTTTTCTTTGCCCATGCCCATATGGCATGCGTTTTTGCCTGCCTGCCATTGGACAGACCCGACCATTCGGGGGTTTTGCTTCTGGTGATTCAGCCATCCATTCATTTGGATATCCATCCCATCCCATCCCGCCCATTCATGCATTCGGGTATCCATCCATCCATGCATCCATTCGCATTGCCCCATTTTTCATTCAATTCATCCATCCCAATGCGTCCCAACCGTCTTGTTGCGTCCATCTATTCGACCCATCCGAACGCCTCATGCGAAAATGTCCCGTCCATTCATCCCTGTCCTATCCTACGTGCGTCCATCCATCGTGCCGTCTATGTAAACCATCCAACCTGTTGGTTTGTACTTTTGTACCCTGGAAAACGCCGCCCTAGTATACAATCACGTGAAGCGCGACAGTGATGGAAAGTTCTTTTTCTTCGTACTTCTTCGTTTTATTGGTTCAAGGAAGTGTCTGTATGCTTGAATGGATGGCTGCCTGGCAGTACTCAATCGGTACTGCTCGAAGGCACCAGACCAGCTGCTTGCTCGGTTTCCGACGGGGCAGGATTGGGCGCTTTGTTGGCAACGGGGTTGTGAAGCTCTGTGGCGGCGGTCGTGGTTGCTTCTGTCGGCGACACATCGTTGTCGGATGTAGTGGGGGATACGAGCGTGGGCTTGATGGTAGAGTTCACCGCAGAAGTGTCTTCGCTCGTAGGCCTCAAAGATCGGACCCTTCTTCTCGCGGGCTTGGTCGTCGCGGTCGCACCACCAGCAGCACCAGCACCAGCACCACCATCTGCAGCTTTGCGCTTCTTGTCGCCTAGTACGGGAGTGTAGTCTATGCCGAGCTTCTCGGCCTTTTCTTGGTTTTCGTTCTCGCGCTCTGTTTTGTTCCAGTTGCCTTTGAAGTTGGCGATCTTGCGGGAGACTGCGCTGGTGGTGCAGCATACTAACTCATCGAGACGCTGCAGGCGGACGACGTCGTAGCGGATGACGGCGTATTTGCGTATGGCTGAGGCAACGAGGTCAACATGATCAGAGCACTTGATGTTGCCTTCGATTTTGTGGTATCGCAGAGTCTTCATGCCAACTTCGTGAGCTTCGATCAAGTGCTTAAGTAAAACCCAGCAGGCAGCTTCGAGGGTTTGGTCATCATACTTGGACATCTTCTCGACGTGGCCTTCTTGGTATGTGATCCAGCGACTCTTGTCAGCATCCTTGACCAGAGCAAACTGCTCAGGAGCTTGGGCATATGATTTGCCGAAGGCGGCTAGAAGCGTGTGTACGTGTTTGTGTGGGGCACTCTTCACATCCGTCCAGTCATCATCACGAAGCGTGGGCCGAGCTCGGTTAAACGCAACTGCTTCGGCTTCGGCGAAGCCGTTGAAAACGAGATTATTGTCGTTCTTTGCGCGTGGACTGAGGGGGGCAATTGACGAGTCGCCAGGTGAGGGAATAGAAGATGTTGATTTCGAGCTCTGTGAGCAGGCCTTGGCGATTTTGCGCTTATGCAAACGTGGGCCAGACGGATCGACGTGCTCTTTGTTACCTTCGATGTTCAGTAGAGGGCTATCGGGGGTGACCGGCAGGAAAGTGGAAGCACAACCGAGGTCATCAGCCAGGGTAGCAGTGTTGTTCTCGGCAGCAGTCACAGGCTGATCGTACAGCTGCGGTGTCAATTGGAAGCCGTCGTAGAAGGTCTCGTTGAAAGCGTTATATGGCCGATATCCATTCTGGTGTGATTGAGGAGGGGTCTGATGTTGTGCTGCCATAGCTGAATAGTTGCGAGCATCCTGAGGCAAGGTCTCGTGACCATTGTACAATCGAGGCGCCGCATAGGTGAATTCTGATTGTCCGGAGTAACTCTGGCTACTCGGCTGTGTTGGATACAGGTCGAACGCACAGTTGCGCTGTGGCATGTAACCGGTGTGCTGTGTGTCACGAGAGTGAATGTTGCCTTCTGGCATGAGACCATCGTAAAAGGCGTTACTGAAAGAAGCACTTGGCAGATCTTCGTTGCCATCGAAGTATTGTTCGCCCGCCTGGAGTGAAGGCAGCGGTTGCTGCGGTGGCATGTTGGGCTGTGTGAACATCGCTTGATCTGAGAGGTCCCCATAAAGCTCGAGGAAGTATTGTGAGGTGGACATGTTTGCGGTACTGGGTTCTAAGACAGGAAGCTTCGGTCTGGAATGGAAGGAACGAGCGCGTGCGCCGTGAAGGTGTAGCGGAGCGAGTCTTGAATTAGGGGCGATATCTGAGAACGTCCGGCGCTCTTTGTGTTGTTCAACTCGTGGAGGGTTGAAGCGTGTGATGATGGCTATGTCAGACGTCCAGCGTCGAAGGGTGTTTTCGTGAGGTTTGGAGGGTGGTCGATGGCGAGGTGCGTTGAGAAGAGGTTTGGGGTTCTCCGAAGACATCTTGGATGTTGATATACTGTCTTACCAGCCACTGCAGTATCCTCGAATCAATTGTCGAAATGAAGCTATTGTGCTTTACAATACCAAAATGCAAAGCTCGGACGAAATGTGCGGCGACAATGGCGGAAGTGCTTGCAAAAGTGGGGCCAACAATGACACCGATCCGACATAAGACTAGATTGTGCCTGCAAGTCAGTGGAAAGCAGATATTACAGTGTATTGTTGCGAGCAGTGGGTCCTGCTATTGTGGCTGTTGAATCGATATGAATGAATGAATGAAGCTGTCAACCCGGGGACGGTCGGGGCGCGCTTCTCCTTTCACATTCATTTGACGCGCGCAACAACCAAAGTCGAGGAGGTTCGGACAGCGCGGCCCGCACATGATTCCGCAGACTTGGTGGGAAGGACGGTGGTGAATGTCGCCACGTCGCAGCTGACCCTGAGTTCGAGATGGAGGATCTCTGGCATTTTCAGTCCGGAAAACCATAACCCGGAAGAGGGAAACGGTACACCTTGTCAATCCGCATGGAGTTTCTCTTAGCGCCTACTCCTCACCTAGAGCCTTTGGTACGTCCCGTGTCGGTTTGTTATGCTCGTTCATGCTGAACTCGTGCATTGTCCCATCTGTCAAGCACGTTGGTCCACGCGCAAACAGGAAACAACATCTTTCGCCTGACCTAGAGTTCTCTTCGACCAATATTGCCCTGAGAGCATGTTCTTGTGAAAGCCCCAAGGAGGGCATGTGTGCTTGTGCTGTTTTGCCGGAGTCCGGATGCATGAAGATTTCAGGTCAACGAAGGGCGCCGAAGATCCATGTGCGGAAACGCAGCGAGCCCTATGTACGTATTTCTGGATTCTAGGTAGCGCAGATCACGCGCCAGGGGCAAGCGGGCTCTGGAACATGTTCGTTGTTGACATGGCGCGACTGAAAGCAGAAAGAAGACGCAAAGTGAAGTGGGAGTCAGAGATGCTGAGTCAGCAATATCTGGATGGTTTTGTCCCTATGGTATTCCGTACAACCAATCAGATCAAAGTGAAGATCTGTCCCATGACCATGAAAGACAGTTTACCAGCAGGTCTACGATGGAGTCCATCAGCGGGCAAGGCCAAGAATTACCAGGTAGCTACTCGTAACTACTGCTGTCTTGGCTATATGTTCGTCTCTCGCTTCATCTACATGCCATAGGCAGTCATGACGGCGACCAGCACCGCCAGTCCATGCCAAAGCGCGATCTACCTCCTAGACGGATCCCTGTTTGCTCATCTGCCAGACTACCAGCCGCCAGAATATGCCGACGCCAGGATCGACATGATAGTCCAGTACCACGGTCTTTCGGAGCTACCTCCTAGTGCTGGCTTATGCAGGCACCTCTTCAGCGTCTATCCCGCTCGATCGCCGAGAGGGCCAGACATTGTGACAGGCTGCGGCTGATTGCACAGCTCTTTTGCGTATGTGCATGTGAATCTTCCATCCGGTTTGATATGGCCTGCCAGGTCGATCGCACCCATCGCAGGAGACAAACCTCATAATTCCTTCCTCCGAAACTTCTGGGGAATATTGGCTTCAATGATGGCCATTTTGTCCATCCGCTCCTGTCTCAATTCCCTCTCTTCCATTTCGTCGTGTTTCCTGAAATGTTCAATGTCCTCGGGGTGGGTCAAGTCTTCCTCTTTGGTATTCTCATTGTGGTATTTCTCCCAGTGATGAATCTCGTATTCGTACTCGTCGTCTCCGTGGTGTCCTGGCCCATAGCCCAAGTCTGGCAACACCAGTCCCTGGCCAACACCAATGGTATACTCGGCAAAGGATATCCGATTGTCTTTGTCGCGATCAAACATGTCGATAACGCGCTGGACACTGGCCCGCTTCTCTTCCTCGGCGACATGGGAAGTGGATTCGTGGCGCAACCCGTAGGTCTTGAGGAGGTCATCGGCGGTCCAGAAGTTGGAAGAATCGTAGTCGTGCAAGTTGAAAAAGGAGCCGGCATCGAAGGAAGCCATGTGGTGTTCCTCTACGCGACCGATCGATCGATTAGCAGTGGTTCATTACATGTTATCGAGGAGGTAGTGGAGGGAGGGAGCATACCGGCCATGTGCTTTGTAGCCCAGTCGGCGTTCGGATCGACAGGAGGAGGTGCCGAATGGGCATTGTCGCCGTGTGCTTGCACACTGTGCACGAGGCCGATGACCACTGGAGCAATGACGAGGTAGAGCATGGCGAACGAGTGTATTTACTACCTGGGCCCAGGAGTGGATCGAATGTGGGATGTAAGGGGTAAGTATCGACCTCGATAACTAAAATGTCCCATCAAATTTGAGGGTGAGAATTGACTAGTTCTAAATCTGGGTTCGGAGGCAAAACTCGATACAGTATACCGGGATAAATAGATGCCACCTCCTACAATTACACCTCAGTACAGTGTATAAGTATCCCTTAGTTCTATCTATCCATTCATCTCGCTTCTTGCAGCAACAGTGTACTAGACTGCGCATCACCAGTCTCCTACTCCTGGCTCGATAATGATGACTCCTATAGCATTTCAAGATTGAACAGCCCTTCTCTGGCAAATGAGCGGCCATGCTGCAGCATCCAGCAGTCAAGAAGCCTGCCTGTCTGCCATACCACAGGCTGGCATGACCGTGTTTCTGCGACATTCGCCATTACAGACCGTCACCAGTGCCCGTGTTGCGAGTGAGACGAGGGCGAGCGCTAGGGCGAGGCGTCGTTCTTGAGCCGACATTCTCCTCATACCGGCATTCTGACCACTTTCCAGGAGCGCGGCGACCACGATGGCTTCCACCGGTATGGAAAAGTCATGCACGATTGTCCTTCACGATGATCATGTCTCGGTTGTCGACGTGCTGGCCGGCACTCGAGCCATGCACGTAGGAGAAGTCGCTTGGCTGTCTGCCCCTGGTGCTCGTAGCCTATGCATATGTCCAGCTGGGCAGACCACTAGCACCACTGAAGTCTCCCTCCACGTCTCTCTGGCCCTTAAATTTGGGTTCGAAAACAGAACTTCAGGCAAGATCGAGCTCATCGATGATACCGACGCCGCCACGGCGACGCACGTGGAGGTCTTCTTTCGCAATCAATACTTGTCGAGAGCAGACATGTGGCAGCTCATGAAAAGTCTCGAGGAGACGGTCGTGTACGAAGGCCAGGTGCTCAAATACCTCGGCTCTGCAATTGCTGAGGTCGAGAATATCTGGATCTCTGGCGAAAGGAAAGAATCGGCCTATGTCACACATCCATACACGAAACCCATCTTTCGCAGTAGGAGTGCTCGCTATGCTATCCTCATCGAGGTTTCCAGAGAAATGCTCGAGGGCTGGAGCCATGGCGAACTCATGTACGAGAGACTGATTGACGGTCTACTCCACGAACTGTTCCAGCGATGGGAGAGGGACAAAGCTCGGCATCTGGCTTCAGTGATCCTGTACGGACGTGCAGCAGGGGCAGATGGCGCGGCGAAGCGCGATTCTCACAATCACCAGCATGGCGAAGACTTCTATATTCTACTAGTGTCAGAAGTCACCAGCATCACATGGGCAGATATTCTGAACAAGATCCGACGGGCCTTCAACGACCTGACTTTGTCCAGATCCGTATGCTTGGCAGCAGAGAGCAACATACTCGAGGCCATCCACCTTACCGCCATGGACTTTGCAGATGATCAGAATGACGCGCATTTGATGAGCACTGGCACTTCTATCATCGCGGTCACTGCTGGCACTGGCTTGTTCAATGCTGATCATACCTTACTCAAGCAGACGACAGACCTTCTTGTTGGCAACAGCATTGGTGTAGACATCGTTGCACTCTCGCCGAAGCCTTTGCATCCCGTACCACTGTTTAGATACGATCATGATGGTACTGCCGAGTTTGCACTTCCGCACTGGGTGGACATTTCATTCTGGCGGACCTCTCAGGACGAGGACGCATCGATTTGGACACTTCCGGACACAGAAGAGCCCGTACATGAAATCGCGCTGCCGTTCCTGAGAACCTCTGACTTCGGTGACATAGACACGGGGGTCATGGACCATCACGACAATCAAGTCTTTGGGGAAGAGCCTGCGCGCTCGCTCGGACTGGTGAAGGTAGCATCGCTCGAGCCTTCTATGGGCTCCATGGACACCGTAAGAGGTCTTCCGCGCCATGAAAAGCCCAAGAGAGCCAGCCCGGAAAAAAGCCGTCCCATTGACATTCCTGCTCTCGACAGCAATGGCGCTTCGAGTAAAGCGGCCCCATACAGCGCAAAACGTACGCGTCTGCCACCCCATCCATTGATGCAGACCGGAAGAAAGATCAGTCTTGGGCCCAAGGGCCTCGCGCCTAGTAGAGGTGTTGCGAGTACGACTCTATCTGCTACGCACGCGGAAAAGGAAAAGGATATCAACTACGGCGCTTTGCTGGCACCCATCGCATCAGGGGATAAATCGAGCGGGCTCGCGAAGGCGTTTCAGGCAAGTTTGCGGCGGAAGCCTTCGCAGCAAAGTATGGTATCCTCACAGTTCAGTAGTGAGCTGGACCACAATCATGTGTCGAGGCCCATTGAAATTCCGGCAGAGACACACTCACACACACCAGTCAAAGGCAGAAGCGAAGATACTGATGAGCTGGTCAAGATTTTGGAACGGAACATGGAGGACACGACAGTCACGAAAGCCATGACCGAGATGTCGACGACGCCACGGGGCAAATCGAGCTTCGGCCGCAGAAGCCGTCACGACTCCACGCACGAGGCGCTAGATATGTTGTCGCCTTGGGTCATGTTACTTAATCCGTGCAACCCCAGAAGAGATAATATGCGTGTGGCGAGCCAGTATCGCAAGTGGCAGCACGTCTTTCCTCGACCAGTCAGTACGGGTTCCTTCAAATGGGCGTCCATGTGCTCTCCGGCTGCGCTTCCGCTGACGTCGGAGTATAAACCGTCGCCCGCAGAACTGGAGTTCTATTATCGCAAACAGGTCAAGCGGCACATCATCTCTGAGTCTACAGGACTCAAAGAGGAATCTGCAAGTATGCTTGTGGAGCGACTGATCGACATCCGTCTGATCCGCGGTTTTCAGATCGTAGCCATCAGGAACAGCGGCGGAGAGCAAACTGTGCAGAGTAAAGGTCGGCCCATCCTGCTCTCACTCGGTAGGCGATACCATGAGATTCAGCGCATCTCCGATTTTGAGGTGCAGATTGTGCAGTATGAGCCGAAAGCAGGCATTGGCAGCGAGAGCACCGAGTCGCGACATTACGTGACCACGTACCAGCCCAAAATGCGTACGATCCTGGGTCTCAACATCAAGCCAGAAATCAGCTATCACTCCGAGGCACCCCTCACGGACTGGACCGAGCTTGATGAACATATTCTTCGCCTGGGTCCCTTGCCAGACCTGAATGTCACCTTCAAAGTGCGCCTCGTACTGTTACCTGTGGACATCCCGAGGGGCGACTATCTTGGTGGACTCTCAGATGAAGAACGACGTATCGAGGGGATCCAGCGCTTGACGCAGTTGTGGCAGCGCCAACGCTACTTCTCGGCGGAGGATCAATCGCACCAAATGTCTGTCAAGAAAGCGGCATCGACACCGTACACCGCTGTACGAGATCCGAATCCTTTGGCAATCGATTACCAAACGCGTGACCCGACTGTTGTGGTCAATGCACATGGTCCTGCTCTATCGAGCCAGCTTCACGAGGGCGATCTCGATGCTTCGTTGTTCTCCGAAGCCGAGAAATTCCACAGTAGCAATTTTGACATTGTCAAACTGGTCAAACAGATGCAGGAGAAGCCGCCATACGGCGTCGAGGTCCGGGATCGCAGATGGCTCACGGTCACTCACATGAAGTGCTTTCGAGGCGATGAGATGACTACATGGCTGCTTGGTGTCTTCAAGGACCTCGAAGGGCGCGATGATGCCGTCAATGTGGGTAACCAGCTGATGAGTCGTGGTGTCTTCTCTCACGTGCGTCAGAAGCACAAGTTCCGAGATGGACACTACTTTTACCAGATCAGCGCGGCGTACAGAACGACGGAATACCCCGACTCGATGGGTCTCTTTGGTAAAGTGCCGTGGCGATCTATTCCTCCTACGCCAATGGCGGAGTCACTGAAATCGCCCATGTTGCGACCACTCAGTGGCATTAGCTCGACTGACTCCAGCTCGTCCTCCGATAGAGGTACCCCCTGGCTGCACCCCACAGAACCGCGACAGATCTTGCTCAGTCGAGCGATGCAGGTCAATGTTGATCCCCAGAAGAAGTCCAATCATATGCAGATCATTGACTTGCACTATGACCGGATCCACAACCCCGAGAACTGCTACCACATACAACTCGAATGGCTCGGGACGTCGGCCAAGTTGATTCGGGAAGCCATCACGCGCTGGTCGAGCTACGTGGATGGCTATGGACTCAAGCTCATGCAACTGCCACTGGAGGAAGCGTGCAGGTTCCGGGAGCATCACCCGTACGATCAACCACAGCCCATTCGACTTACCGTCCGACCGCCAGACAAGATCCTGGCCACGCCTCATATGGAGCCGCACACCTTTTCGCCTCGCATGATCGAGGATCCCATGGCCTACCACAGACGCCTGTTGAAGAAGCTCGATTTTGTGCTCGACTACGAAGCAGCGAGCGCTTTCACCACTTCTCTCGACGTCCGCTACTCATTTGGTCCACCTTCCTACCAATACACCCAGTTTGTGCACAAGTCTGGTCTCGTCCTCGCTCAGGTGGTCGCCGACGACACTGCCGATTTTCTCCTGTTGCCGAACAGACTTGCTACGAGCCAGCTGACTGCTACAGCAAGACACACGACCGAGCATGATCGACCCGATGTGACTGTCGATTCGGTGCAGAAGGATTTCAAGGCCTTCTGCAAAGACGAGGAGAAATTACGATTGTTCTACCGAGAGGCGGACAGAGTCCGACCTCTTGTTGCGCCTAGTCCGCTGAGCAATGCTTCTCAGGCCGATCTGGACGTTCCGCCGATGCAATTGCCGCCGATCAGTCATAGTCATCGTATGCAACTTCGAGGGCCGTGAATATACACAGCACTACGGGCAAGCTAGTTTCGGCGCCGAGACTTTGATATTGTGCCAAAAGCAGTCATTTAGCTCGGAATTATCGGCATTCCGCAAGTTAGTATTCATTGTAAGCAGTATTATCAAGCATTAAGTCCAAGGGAGCATGATGTAATGAATCGCCCTCTCGACTTGGCATCATCAACGACGAGGGACATCACCTCGAGTATCTCCCCCGTTAAATCTCAACATCACCTCCAACATTATCCCAATTAACAATCGATGCTCAGTGCACCGGGCAGGCGAATATCACAACTCTGTCAACAAGTCCAACGTCTCTCCACCACACGCTCAGCCATGGCGTCCGTAAGTGCTGCCCCGAAAGATGGCGCTTTCGTCATTGCCACAGGTATGTACTGACTCCCCTTTTCAGTCCGACAAGAACTCCATCCTGAATTGGGTGAACCCTGAAGACAAGTCTGGCGAGTTCAAGAGACAATCATCCGCCTTCCGCAACTGGATATCCAAGGAACCCAATGCCGAGTTCCCCGCTGAAAAGGGTCGTTACCACCTCTATGTCTCGTACGCCTGTCCCTGGGCGCACCGAGCCTTGATTGTGCGCAAGCTCAAAGGTCTCGAAGAATTCATCCCTTACACTTCCGTGCACTGGCACATGGGAGAGAAGTCGTGGAGATTCGCCACCCCCGACGAAAAAATCCCCGGAGCCCACACCGAGCCCGACCCCATTCACAAAGAATACACGCATCTGCGCGACATCTATTTCGAACAAGACCCCAACTACTCTGGCCGATTCACCGTCCCGACCCTGTACGACATCAAGCAGAAAAAAATCGTGAACAATGAATCCAGCGAAATCATCCGCATGTTCTACACCGAATTCAACCACCTCCTGCCCCCCAAATTTGCCCAGGTAGACCTCCTCCCCACCGACCTCAAGGCAGACATCGAATCCACCAACGAATGGACCTACAACGACGTCAACAACGGCGTCTACAAATCCGGCTTCGCCACCACCCAATCCGCCTACGAGAAAGCCGTCACAACCCTCTTCACCTCCCTCGACAAAATCGAACACCACCTCCGCGCCATCAACTCCAAAGGACCATTCTACAACGGCCCACAAATCACCGAATCCGACATCCGACTCTACACAACCATCATCCGCTTCGACGTGGTGTATGTGCAACATTTCAAATGCAACCTTCGAGACATTCGCAGTGGATATCCGGCGATTCACGCGTGGATGCGGAATTTGTATTGGAACTTTCCTGACTCGTTTGGAGAGGGTACGACGGAGTTTACGCATATCAAATGTCATTATACGAGGAGTCATCAGCAGATTAATCCGTTTGGGATTACGCCTGTGGGGCCTGTACCGGATGTGTTGCCGTTGGGGGAGGAGGTTGCTGCTGCTGCTGGGGGGAAGTAAGGTAGAAGGGAGGAAGGGAGTGGGCAGTGTGGTTTTGTTGTGCTGGGATTCATGATGAAGATGAAGATGAAGATGAAGATGAAGATGATGGGAATGGGAATGGGCAGAGATTGTGTGTGAGTGAGAGGTATATTCTTGGGAGGTGGCAAAGTACAGGCATGTACCCCATCATCCAATAAAAGCGAATTTCAATTTTGCGTCAAGCATGTGTATTCTGCAAACATGTGTACGTACTCCGGACAGACCAAATTCCCCCAAGCTATGCTCCCCAATCCCCATCCTCCATCCTCCCCTCCCACTCACTCACTCCCTCACTCACTCACTCACTCACTCACTCACTCCCTCCACAACCCTCTCCCTCTCCCACATCCACCTCCTCACCACGCCCCCATTCTCCACCCCCTTCCTACTCAAAATCGCCACCTTCAAAACCCCCCTCTTAAAACCCATCTTCCCCTCCCCCTCTCTCCCCCCGCCACCAACAACAACAACCTTCTTCTTCGCAGCCCTCCAAACCCCTCTGGCCCTCTCCCTCTCAATCTCCACATTCTTGCCCATACACCTCATCAAAAACACCTTCTTCACCAATTCAACCTCCTCCCTCTCAAGCCCTTGAATCCACAACCGCGCTCTCGGAATCACACTCAAATACGCATGCGGCAAAGCTTGAAAAATGAAACCTTGTGGTCGCGAACAGTACATTGCGCGATGGCTGGGTGGGAGACTTTGGAGCCATTTGTGCGCGAGAGGTTTGATTTGGTTTTTGTTGCGGGATTCGCGGGGGTTGTTGCGGGCGCGGGAGTTGCGGGAGTTGATGGGGCTAGTAATAGCAGGAGATTGATAATGGATATTCGGAAGCAAGAAATTCGCTTCCGTGTAGAAAAGTTGGGCGAATTCGTGGCGGGTGCGACGCGTGGAGAGGGAAGTCAGTTGCCAGGGTGGAGTGTAAGTTTTGGTGATGTGGACGATTTTGGTTTTGTTTGCCGTGTCGGTGTCGATGGCGTCGAGGTTGAGGATGGTGAGGTCGTAGATTTGATCGTAGATTTCTTGGGGGATGGAGGTTTGGATGAGGAAGGCGAGGGATTTGCTTTCGTGGGTGCTGGGAGGGGAGGGGAGGTGTGGTGAGGATATGTTGGTGCGGGTGATGCTGAGTTGCCCGTTGGTGGGAGTTGGTGTGGACATTGTTGTTGCGGTAGTTGATGGGTTCAAAGTCGTATCGTTTTGCTGTCTGTAACGTCGATATAGTCGTGCTGTATCAGAGAGCGGTAGTCGATGAGTTCGAAGTCGTATCGTTTTGCTGTGATGGCGATATAATCGTGCTGTGCCAGAGAGCGGTAGTCGATAAGGTCGAACTTGTATCGTTCTGCTGTGACGTCGATATAATCGTGCTGTGCCAGAGAGCGGTAGTCGATAAGTACGAAGTCGTATCGTGTTAGTCCGATGTCGATATAATCGTACTATACCAGAGAGCAGTATTCAACAAGTGTGATGCAATATCCGAGTACGTTCGTCGAAGCTGTGTAACCGTGTAACTGCGTAAGGTAACTGTGTGGATGCAAAATCCTCTCCAGTCCCATTACCACAGCATATACATATACCTACCTACCTAACAGTCATATCCTATCCACCCGCAAAACTTTGGATCATACCCAAATATTTGCTTACATCCCATAAACTTCAAAATCTACCACTAAATCCCCCAAACTTTACTTCGACCACAACCCAGAAAAGGAAAAAACAGACAGCTTACCACCTCGAGAAGTAAGCAGACCACAGAAAAATTCGACATGTCCTCACAATTTAATCTTTTCCAAACTCTTTTGGGCTCGTCAAGCCGCCCCCAGCCACCTCGTAACCCTCCCTCCCTCCCTCCCTCGTCCGCATCCATCAAACGAACGAACACTAATTCATCGTCTCATCCCTCAAACCTACCAAAGTCCAAAACGTGCCTCGCCACGCCTCGCCTAACGTCAAGAAGGCGATACCATAGAAATCCGAATCCCCACAATCCAGCACCCGTGTTCTCGTCTAATAACTTAGAGCCACAGCCACAGCCACAGCAGCAGCAGCAGCAGCGACACCAGCAAAGCTTCCACATCGCATCGCATCGTATTGCGCGCATCCTCCAACTTCCCACAATCGTCAAATCTGCCTTGCCTGATAGACAAAAAGGGTGTGTTCCGCGACAGGAGTTGCCTGTTGCTAGAATGTTATCCAAGCGAAAAGTCCTGCGTTAATCCGGGAGGCCCGTGGTAGGTGACCAGGTCTGTTTGGTTGCTTGCTTGCTCGATTTTTTCCTCGATCGATCGGATGGATCAATAGGTAGATAAGGTAATCTTCATTTCTTTCCTTGGCCGAAAAAAAAAGCACTCCAGTCACCCACCTAGGAGGTACTTTCCCAATCACGGAAAGAAGAGAAAAAAATGTCATCCTCACACCATCACGATATAGTGAAGGGGGACTAAGAAACAATAACTACTACTACTACTGCCACAGCAGCAGCAGCAGCATTTCCATTGCATTCATACATGCCCATATCTTCGCAAGCTACTAAGCAAAAGTGGTATATGCGCTAATGGTGAACGAATCCCACCACATAAAAATGATGCCAAGCCCATCCCATCCATCCATCCTTCCATCCTTCCATCCTACAGTGTAGTGGTAACAGTCTCGACAGCAGAGTGAATGAACAGAACAGAACACCACCAGCGCCATGCTAAGAGAAGAGCATTCCCATAAAGGAACAAACCAAACCAGCCAAAGAATCGTAACCATGCACGTCACCTGACGAGCAGACCATGGGTGCCCTCTTCTTTTTCGAAAAAAATCCATGACACCGTCCGTCCCATCCATGTGTTGTTCCAGGTGCTCCACGTGCACCCACAATGCGACATTTTTTACCCTCTCTGTGTGCTCACGCGCTCGCTCGATCGATCGCTCACACGCTGACTTCTCCCGGATCGTCCTCCATGACCCTCTCACTCCAGCCTTTCGATGTAACTGCACCGTGCGCGATGCCTCTCTGATCATTCGCCATTCCCTCACCTTCACCTCTTTCCACAAACTTCAAGTTATGCAAGTCCGCGTAGATTCGTTGAAAGTACAACCTTAGCGAGCGCAAGCCGCGCAGATACCCGCGATCGACCTCGTCCTGATGCCGGGGCGGACACGGCTTATGCTGTATGTGCGGCAAGCTCTCCGCCGTCACGCAGTTGGCAAAATCGACAATCTTGAGCTTGACCCCCGCGACAGGACTGCTGGGTGCATGTCGACTCGGCGTTGGGGCACGGATCTTGCCCGTCGTATCCGCGTTCCCGCGATCGTAGATCATGAGGAGACTGCTAGCGTAGAGGCGATATCCAGGCAGATCGCTCACCATCTGTTCCAGTGCATTGATCTTGTCCAGCACCGTCGGAATGTGTTTGAGAGCCTGTGCGTGGCCGATGCCGTCAAAGAAGAAGCGCTTGAGCGCTTCACGAAACTCCTCGCCAGCCTTCAAATCGCGCCCAAAGTATTTGTCCTCAAAGTCGTAGGATTGCGTCTTGACGTTGTACACCTGCATGCCACACACGCGTACGCCAAGCTCGCGCGAGGTCGTCGACTTGCACTTTGCGCGCTGGGATCGCTGCTTCTTGTCATTAGCCTCAACTCCATACTGACGTGTGCCCATTTTGAGGTCGAGGACGCAGGGTTTCTGCATGCCCGCTGTAAGATCCTCAAGCAAGAGGAAGTGCTCGACACGCTCGTCCTGCTGCACCAGTGACGTCTCCGGATTGCGCGGCCCTGGCGCAAGATCGATGGCCGGTCCTAAGCGAGGCAAAGGTTGACCATGTTTGGTAGCGGCACCATTAGCATCGTGCCTGGGAGCAGTCGCAGCAGCAGCTCCATCGTCGGTGGGCATTTCTTTCCTGAGATCATCCATGGCAAAGACACTGTCCTCCCCGGTGTCCTCCTCATGAAACTCCAGATCGCCTCGACTCCCATCGATATCAGCGGGTTTCCTCATGAGACCTCCTCCGGAGTGGCGACGCGGACGCCGACGTAACTTCCGATCAGCAGAACCTTCCGCTGCAGCATCCATCTCAGAAGTCTCGGCACTCTTACTGAGAGCGTCATTGCTGCTTCTGACAGCATGCTGTAGGTCAGAAGTGGATCTGTTCTCCGTGTTGAGTAGTCTGTGCTTCAGCGATGGGACCTGCAAGCATCCATTGCAGAGATCTTTCTTGTCATCGCCGTGTAGCAATGATCCGTCGAGCGACTTGTGGCAATCTGAAGACGACTCCTTTTGAATATATGTTGGTATTTGCCTCACCGAACGACCATGTGCGCGATCGCGGCGATGAGTCTTGTGTATGACAGGAGCCTTGAAAACCTCATTAAAGACTTTGTCACGAAGAGGATTATTGACAGATGTGAAGCCCCAGCTCTGGGACGACTGCAGCGCAGGACGACCAGCAGCTTTAGTTTCTTCGGATTCTGAAGCTCTCGGTGGCGACGACAACGTCCTTTGCAGCTCAGAAGTTGACAAGTTTCCGGACGACCCAAAGAAGTTTTCAGGAATCAGATGTCTATTGTTGGCAATCTCCACCTGCGGGATGCCGGCAGAAGACTTGTTCTGCATGGAATGACTGATCATGCGAGTGTGATGTTCTGACTTGCCATCATGCGCTTTGCCGTCACTATCCAGCCTGCTTCCCTCTGAGACGGTCTGCTTGCGCTTCTTTTGATCCTTTCGATACGTCACATTGAGCACTCCAATGTACCGAGGCATGAAACTCAGCAAGCCCGGATGATGCTTCTCGACCGTCTCGTAAAACATGTTTTCTTTGCTGTTCAGCTGCTTACAGACAGCCCTGCGCGAAAATCTGTAAATAGATGTATGCCCTCCGACTTGGTGCGTGTATGGTGTCAGCTCTACAGCGCCTACAGGCGCCACTGGCTCGTCGATATCTCGTCCATGTGAAGCTCGACGTTCCGATCGAGGCTTGATATGAGGCGTGTTCGTTGGCGTGGTCTCAATCTGGTCCTGGTCTTCTTCAGAGACGGCCGAATATCCAGACTCCGACTCGTACTCCACATCAGACACGGAGTCTTCTGGCGAAGGTACAGGCTTCGACAAAGTCTTGAGGCTGGCGGCAGAGGTGGCCTTGGACATACCTTGCAGGAACTCTGGCGCACCTTCACCCTGCAGGGACACCTGTACATCATTCGTTGTTGGTTGCGCGTGCACACCCTCTACGTCTGCTGCTCTGATCTTGGACGCTCGTTCTGCAAGCTGCTCGTCGGCGGGAGAATCACCAAGTTGAACGCCTTGGTGTGGAAAGTATGTGGCAGAAGATATGTGCTCTCGATCTGACTCGTCCTCTTCGTCCGTCTTTCCCACAGCCTTCTTCAGCTGCTCGTGCATGCGCCAGTCGTGGTCATGCGATTGAGAGTCTTTTGCCAGTGGGATCTTCTTCGACTGGCGCGGTGCCAGATGGTGGTGATTACGTATGTCCTCCAGCAACCCCGTGGGTAGCTGCTGTGCCATTTCTTTTCCCGACACACTAACATGGTTGCCATCTTCCTCTTCAATATCCTCCACTATTGTTTGTTCTCGGCTGGAGTCATCTGCTTGCTCTTCGCGGTGGCGCGAGATCTGCGATATGCCAGTATCTTTACCCTTACCACCCGACTTCTTCCGCTCAATCTCTCGCTTCTCCTCCTGCTCATTCTCTCGAAATAGTCCCAGATAATGACTGGCCTTGCGAGATCGAGGGTTTGCAACGGGCTCAGGCTGTGGCAAATGAGCGTCAATGACCTTCTCCACATCCTGCTGGGAGGTACCGCTGGCCTGACGCTGCGACTGCGCAATGGTCATACCGTACATCTTCGCCTTGCCCAGTCTCCACGAGCGGTACTGCTGGCGCTCAGCACTTTGCAGTTCCTCGGCTTTGGGGCTATTCGGTAGTGAGTCTGGCGTCGCCGGGAGGTTGTCTTCTGGTCGGAATGGAGAGTCCTGGCGCGAGTCTGATTGTACAATGCCTGGGGTATGGTGTGAGACTGATAGGGTGTTCAAGTCATGCATATCGAATAAAGATCGGCGGTGGTGTTGTGGTGGCGGCGGACGAGCATTATTGCTTGTTCGGCCACGTATTGAACCTACTGGCGGTGGTGAATGGTGGTGGTGATGATAGACGTGAAGGTCATTCGGGCGAGCACTCGTAAAGTCGATCGAGTCACTGCTTCTGGCAGATGAAGCGGGCACGGTGGCAGTCGCGGTGGCCATGTCACGCCTGCTGCTTCTGCCGCCCTCGTTGTAATAGATGGCGCCTTCCGGTACAGGCGCAGTGTGGTAGTCCGGCGACGGCGAGGACTTGCCTGCTACGGAAGAGCCGGCGTAGGAGGTCGCAAAGATGCTGTCCCGTTCGCTAATCTGGGGTCGCACAACATCGTGCAGCGCTGAGGGGCCCGACCGACGACGTCGCTGGCGCGATGGCGACTTGCCTGGACGGTTGGTAGTCGAGGAGGCTGCGGCGGAGAGAGATGGAGTGGGAGTGGGAGTGGAAGTGAGAGCGGTAGTCGGACTCGGGGAGCAAGGATATTGGGCAGTAGTGGCGGCGTCATGTCCTCCTATGTGGTGCCGCGCAGACTCATATCGGTCCTGTAGGCGCTTGGATCTCTCCCTCGTGCCATTCGTGGGTGCCATCTAAGGCTGACCATTGAGCCAGCGCAGCGGAATCCTCCTGTCCTGTCTTGGCCTTGTTCTGGACTGGGCTGGATATGACGGAGCTAAGTAGGAACTGGGATGCGCAGAGCTCTCTCTTCACGTGGGCCGGGCCTTGGTGGTCTGTCGCCGCGGGCGGCACGGAAGCAGCTGCAGAGCCTGTCGTGTCGGAGAGGTTCGTATCGCTCGAGAGGCGGGAGGGTATGGTGGTGGTAGTGTTGTTGTTGTTGGGGGGGGGGAGGGGAGGACAGTCGGACGGGCGTGTCGAATTGGAGCACGTTGTGTGCTGTTTCGAAGGCATTGGACGCTTGACGCTAGGTGCAAAGTAGAAGTGCAGGACTAGGACGATTCTAGTCGTCTCAGGCTGTTCGGATGACACTGCCGGCGCTCCATGACATGTTGCACGGACAGTTGGAGGTACCATCTACATACCTCCTAGTCGTAGTGTGATCATCGGGACATTCTAATTTCTCCCAGCCTCCAGGCACCGAGTGCTGCATCATGACTTCTATTGGCCCACATGCGTTCCATGAGTCCATGACCGCCCCAAAGGGCCCAATACACCTCCCCTCTGCCCTCCCGCCACAGGCATCACGATGGCTGCCCCTGGGCAGATCTGCCACTTCTGTCCCGGCAGTTCAAGCCCACCCTGCCTGCCTGCCTGCCAAGAACCACCACCGCCCTTCGCATCCACATACCTCCTACAATCCTACATACAGCCTGCTTGCCTGCATCTCCACGGATCACAGCCTGCAGAGTGAGGGCATCTTCTCCTGTCGCGCCCCCCACGCCTCCAATATAGGATACATATATACACGACGCCCCGATCAGATCAAATCAGATCAAATCAGATCAGATAGGAGTTGTCTTATCTGCCTGCTTGCAGCTCCTTCCTTGCTTGGTCTGGCAGCGATCTGTAGGTACTACCTAGGTAAGGTAGGTACTGTATACAGTCAGTACAAGCGAAGATTTACCAATCAGGGTAACAAGTGGCTTCATGCTCCTTTTGTCTGCGAAATACAGTATCTTAGTCATACATCCCAAGTGGGACATTGGACGGGAACAAGCGACAGACGTGCCACGTCCGTGCTGGATGACTACGCTGCTCTCCACTACCAAGAAGCATCACTAATGCCAATCAATGGAGAACGTGGGTGGTGGTGGTGGAGCTGGTGGTAGAACATTTCATGCATATACGTGGGCCCGGTGCCATGCGCCCATTGAAATCGTGCCGGGGAATCGGAGAAGTCACCTCTTCACCTCTATCTAGCTTTTTTTTTCTTTTGGCTATAACTAGTACTATACAGTAGGCGCTGACATGGAAGATACATGCTGTATGCAACAGAAAAGCAATTCTCTCATCTCGACACCTCGATGACTTCCTGCATTATATATTATACATGTAGTCGGCATACAATCCTCCTCCCTCGCCAGCGGCCTACCAATTTAGCACGAGTACTAGGTACAGGTAGGTATCAACCTCTCCTTCTTTTTTCCTTTTTTTCTTTCTCTTTTCCCTACAATTCTCCCTCTAGGTATCGTCTTGTAGAGTTGGAGTTGGAGTTCTTTTCCCCAAAGTTCGTCGTTATCGTCGTCGTCGTAGTGCCTACCTACCAGGTACTAAGAGCTACCTACCTACATAAGTCTACCTGGTATAGTAGATGTTCTTAGGAAGTAGGTGCGATTCGGTTCGATTTTTTTGTAGGGCGAAATTCTTATAGGGAGGAGAAGAAAGATAGAGAAGAGGATAGATGATTTGCGGATGCACTGTAAGTACCTAAGGAAATGTTGTTTTATTTCGGTTTTCTTTATTTCTTAGCTTTTTCTTCCTTCGTTGTTATCTTTCAGCTCCAGCTTGATTTTCCATTTCATCTTCCATTTCATCTTCCACTTCATCTTCCACTTCCTCTTCCATCTTCCATCTTCCATCTTCCATCTTCCATCTTCCATCTTCCATCTTCACCTTCCATCTCCTGTGCATCCTAGGCTGTTATATCCAAAACCAAACCCAACACATCCCCGGGATGCTATAACCACGTCTCAAATTTCAAGCCCGCATAAGTAAGGTAGACACACCCTCTGCCTTTAGCTACAGACACCACACGTGTTAGGGTTCCTTACACATTGGAGAGTGCCGCTGACAGTGTGGCACCAGCCTTGGTGTTCTTGTACGACTTCCTTTCCACCAGGTGTTGTAAACTTTGTAACAATCTGGTTTCCATTAGCTATATGTGGCTCCCTGGTTCTGCACAAATTGAAAGGGCGCTTACTTTGCAGCAGCTGCATACATGGCGATTTGCACATGTGTTGACACGCCCAGAGACAGGTTCCAATGAAGGACCATCTGCAGAAGCCAAGGTGATCATGGCAAGGAGACTGATTCCGATGAAGAGAAATGTCGATCGAAACATTGTTGACGATTACTTGCAAGGTGTCTTTGCAGTTCGTAGTTCGGCTCCTGTATGCGTCGTTTGATCGAATCCGGGAGAGTCTGTCGGGTTGGCTCAACAACAGTTTCGGTCTTCGGTTCTGCTTGTCGTAGATGTAATGATCCCTTTGATTGGCAAGAGCAAGATGTTCGATGGGAAGAGCAAAAGTAAGGGCTGAAGGTGGGTGAGGTTGTGAGGGGAGGTTTTATGAAGCTCGTTACTGGAATTACAGGTACCGAGGACACGCAAATGCCCCTTGTAGCCAACACCAAACAATCAACGAATACGGAATACTCGGAGGCTGGGTTCACATACCCACGTCGAACACACATAGTTAGCAAGGTATACCAGGCTACCTATGCATGATCAGATTTTCTCCAGACTCCCGACTTTCCTGTACGAAGTCATAGGTAGTAGTAGTAATAGTAGTAGTTTCTCCTAAGACTCTCCATAGTAGAGCACTTATAGTGATAAGTAACCCTTCATTTGTAGTACATTGGCAATGGTTCATTCAGATAGTGTACTGATCAGCTGTACTTTGCTTCTTCCATGGCCTAGACTACAGGCACCTATGTTTGTCCAGGTTTTTGCCCTGCAGCAACCGCATACGAGGAGCTTTCCAACTGACAACCATCCCTGTTCTGATGGTGCGAGTCAGACGACCAGCAGGGTGCTTCTCTTGCGCAAAGGAGGTTATTGTGGTGAGGAGAAGGATGGTTTCCCACTTTCCCTGGAGATGTATCAATGGGAACCCTGTCATTTTGCATTTTTGACTTCATGACAGTTGAGATCTTGGACTCGAAGTTGGTCTGGAAGGTCTAGGTTCTGTCCGAGGAGGATGTTTGAGAAGTTAGCAATACATCCTCCTCTTGGGCCAGACAATGTTGCGGCGATCAGGACTTGTAGAGGGCGAGGTGAGGTCGGGGTTCTGGTTTCTGTAGATCTTTGGCGGAGTCCAGACTCTAGAGATAAAAATACCAAAACTGCCTGTTCCGCTCTCGGAGGCCGCTTGCCGCGATTGGAGGGGTCCAGTCCAGCCATGGCGAGTCATGTAGAAAACAGTAAGTTCTGTGGTTCTTGTGCGAATTTGATCAACTTCTCTCCGACTCGAATATCACTTCTTCTTCTTCCTCTACAAGCGAGGCTGCAGACCAACACAATGGTGGCTCACAGTCCTTCGCAGCGCTATCTCAGCACGAGAGGTGGTTCCTACGACGTATGTGCTCCTCGAACAATACCCCGTCACGGCAGTGTGGCTTTCCCCTTCCCATTGGAGACGGAAGCGCAGTAGCATTGGGGCTTACGCTGAGAAGTGGTGCAGCTCTCGTTTGAGGAAGTGGTGCTCAAAGGACTCGCCAGCGACGGCGGCCTCTTCATTCCCGAGGAGATCCCCCAGCTGCCATCCGACTTCCTGGCCCAATGGAAGGACAAGTCGTTCCAGGAGCTGGCCTTCGAGATCTTCTCTCTCTACATATCGCCCGGAGAGATTCCCTCGGCAGACCTGAAGAACATCATCCAGAGGAGTTATGCCACCTTCCGCGCCCCCGATATCACGCCGCTGCAGACACTCGACGCGCAGAAGAAGCTGCATCTGCTGGAGCTGTTCCACGGGCCGACGTTTGCTTTCAAAGACGTTGCGCTGCAGTTTGTGGGCAACCTGTTTGAGTACTTCCTCGTCCGGCGCAACAAGGGTAAAGAGGGGGATGCCAGAGAACATCTGACTGTCATTGGCGCCACCAGTGGAGATACTGGATCAGCGGCCATCTACGGACTGCGAGGCAAGAAGGATGTCTCCGTCTTCATCATGTACCCCAAGGGCAAGGTCAGCCCCATTCAAGAGGCCCAGATGACGACAGTGACGGACGCGAATGTGCACAATTTGAGAGTCGAGGGCACTTTCGATGATTGCCAGGTGCGACTTCCATCTCTCTCCCTCATGAGGACGTTGCCTTGCTCCTCTGCCAGGATGGCTGCTGACACTATTGCATTTAGGACATTGTCAAAACGCTCTTTGCTGACTCGGAGCTGAACGCGACCCACCGTCTGGGCGCCGTCAACAGCATCAACTGGGCACGCATCCTCGCTCAAATCACCTACTACGTTCACGCCTACTTCAGCCTCGCCAAACAGACTGGCTCTACCGATCCGACCGCCCGCTTCGTTGTCCCCACTGGCAACTTCGGCGACATCCTCGCAGGCTACTTTGCCACTCGAATGGGCCTACCTACAGACAAGCTGGTCATTGCCACGAACGAAAATGACATCCTACACCGCTTCTGGAAGACAGGATACTATGAGAAGCAAGCCAAGCATGGCAGAGAAGCAGAGGGTGGAGGCGCAGAAGTGGAAGATGGAGCCAAAGCAGACCCTAGTGGAGTGAAGATGACTTTTGCGCCGGCCATGGATATTCTCGTCTCGTCCAATTTCGAACGGTTGTTGTGGTATCTCGCCTTCCAGACGAGCAAGACAGAAGAGACGAATAGACGGAGGATGGAAGCAGGAGCCAAAGTCAAGGATTGGCTAGAAGCGCTGAAAAAGGATGGAGGATTTGGTGTCGAGAAAGAGATTTTGCAGGCTGCCATGCAAGATTTTGAGAGTGAGAGAGTAAGCGACAAACACACCATCGACACGATCAAGGAAGTCTATGGCTGGTCCTCCATCCCTGCAGCCTCGAATCCCGTGGTAGCAACAACAGGCATGCTCCACAACGGTCACTATATCCTCGACCCGCACTCTGCGATCGGTGTTGCCGCTTCTCTACGACAAGCGCAGAATGTCAGCAAAGAGACGCATCTGGTCTCGTTGGCTACGGCGCATCCGGCCAAATTTTCGCATGCTGTTGAATTGGCGCTCAAGGACGTTCCGGGCTTCACTTTCGAGACGGTGCTTCCCGAACAGTTCATCGGGTTGGATCAGCTGGAGAGACGCATTACCGAGTCCAAGGCGGATTGGAAGCAGGTCAGAGGTATCGTGGTGCAACAGGTCGCCGATGAGTTGAAGGGCGAGAGGTGAGGTGTGGTCGAGTCTGATCAGTGTCCACATTTGAAGAAACATTTCCCTTGGGATGCAAAGCGAGAAGAGAAGAATACGACTTGTATGAAGAAAAAAGATGCATCGGGTCGAGAAAAAGTTCACGTGCGACGACGATGGACGGATTGAAGGGAAAGGTAAACTAAAGAGTCATAGATGAGGTCTAGGTAGGTATAACCTCAATCAGCCTCAGCACTTTTACATTACACTCCTGCATACATTTGCAAAGTCCGGAAATCGACGCCATTGGTGGTGATGGTGATGGTGGTAGCTCAACAATAGCACCATTACGCTACACTACGCCAAACAGATCAAGTCGTACCTTAGGTAATCTACATACAGCGCTCAGGTACCTAAATTTCTATACCTTCGCCATCCCATCCCATCCCATCCCGCCGACCAGTGATTTCAATAACACAGAAGCAAAGAGAGAGAAGAAGAACCCAGCTGCCAAAAGACAAGTCATGGTTGCAGTAACCTTCCGCACGATGCCCTCTACTGCATGTCTCCAAGGGCACCATACCATACCATTTCAGTGAATTTTTTTCACACTTTTCTAAGATTGGAGATTAATTTGGAAATTACTTTTTGTTTAGTTAAGTGACCTGGGGGGTAAGTAAAAGGATGGACGTATTCTGGTGGTTGATTGATAATTTTGATATTATTTAAAGATACCTAGGTATATGTAACATGTAACATGTAACATGTACGACTACGGCGAATATCGAATTTGGTTAGATTGGACGAGGGAGAAGAGAGGGAGAGAGAGGGAGAAAAAGAAAGAGGGAGAGAGAAGGTAGTAGTAGTGTAAAACCTCTCCGCTCTATCAAGGGTACAGTACAGTACGGTCGTATCTCTATAAGTGATTGTTCCGGGGTAAGGGACTCTGAAGAAGAAAGACTTGATTGAATAGAAGAAAATGTGTATACAAACAGGTAAGGTAAGGTAGGTATTTATCTTTTTGACTGCGGCTTCTTGGTCTTTTGTTCTTTGGCTGGATATAAGTATGTATTTATAGGTAGGCAGTCTTCGCCGTTATTCGGAATCTGACCTACTGAAAGAAATAGTGGAAGCGGATATAGGTGCTAGAGGAGGGGAGCTGTTGACTACAGTAGTCAAGTTGATGATTGTAAGGAAGGATAAGAGATACCTTAATTATCAAATAGAGATGTGAAAATCATACAGATAGATGTGCACTAGTCCTGTTACACCTGATTCTCATAGTCATTTGCATTAAGGGGTATTGTGTATATACAAGATACGGCTTTTTGTTTCTTCTTTCCTCCACCTCTTCCCTCCCCTGCCCCTCTCCCTATCCCTCCTACCTACATCCATCCCTATCCAACATTATTTTCTTCTGAACAACTCAATCCATACCATCATTTACATAGGATTCGGAATCCTCGCACTCGTCGTATAAGGAAACTGATTTCCCGCACCAATCGTCACATTGGCATAATAAATTTCCGTCGCAGGCGTCGAAGACGCTCCCGTCAAAGAAAAGTGCGAAGCCTGCAATACCGCGGGACCGACGGGAAAAGTTGCGGGAATGTGAATAATGTGTGTGATGTTGCCATCGACGTTGGAGAAGTCTACACCAGAGGAGGTAATAATAGAAACCAAGAACATTAGTCACCAATAAATACTTCTTTGAAAAAGAAAGAGGGAAGAGGAGAGGAGATATTCTTACCAGGACCCAATGCCTTGGTGCTGACATATGTGCCCAAACTGCCCATGAACAACGACTCGAGAGGTGTCAGACCAAACGAGATGGCGACATCGTTGATCGTTTGTGGGTAGCCCTCGGTGAAAATTTCGATTTTGACATCTGCGTTGGGTGCAGCGTTTTGTGGCGCGTAGAAGCCGACGATGCGGGCTTGTGCGGTGGAGGCCAGGAGCGTGGCGGCTGCGGTGAGAAGGGTGGTGGTGGAATGCATTCTTTTTCTCTTTTATCCGAGTGGTCGGTTTGCTTGGTTGGTTTGGTTGGTTGAGCTTAAGCGATCAAAGTTGTTTGATGTTTGATGAGATTGATGTTTCGATCGATGTCCTTGTTCGTGGGAAGAAGAGATTTCACGCAGAGAGCAGGGCAGGTCAGTTCTCTTGTAGGATTACACGCAGCTCTAGATGAAGGGCGGTCTGTTGTTCGTGTAGATCCCTGATCCTAGTGAGGCATGGCATTCTGACCAGGTGATGAACTGATGATGGTGCAGGCCTGCCATGCGCAATCTATTTCCAGATGAAAGGGACTACGATAGGTGGGATTTACGAGATGTAGTCTCATTTAGGATGTGGCGCCGTCGACCAGTACCTACTAGTTCTCGGCACGAGAGTTTGAAGATGTCTCGGGGGTCATCCGGACGACTTTTGCTGAAGGTGAATGGAGAGAGGCATTTTCGATCTACCAATTGACGACCATTTGTAGTAAGTGGTAGAATGCATGTGCGCTCAAAATACCATGTCCTGTTCGTATCGTGACGGTCGGGCTGTTGATCGCATGTCTAATGACGATCTGGCGCATCCTGGGGTTCCGACGTATGTAATTAGACGTACATATTTGCATAGACATTCATCAAAGTTCATCTCAATTGCCGGCTTGGCAAAGCAGCAAGAACTCCCGAGGTCGACCTTCATCATCACGCTTGATGGGAAGCTTCAGACTCTTTCGTGGGATGATTCCGTGGAGATACGGCGTGAGATTGGGTTTGAGGTTGCTAGGCACGGCGGATACTGTCGGTCGTATAATGATAATGCCTTAACGCATAGACCCGACGGCGAGGTTATGCACGTGTTCATCCACTCGCTTGGCCACTGGCCAAGAGCTAGGTACCATCGTTCTGTATTCCGTTTGTTCCCCATACACTAATAATCTTGCACACATCCACTATTTGGCGTCGAGGTCCACGTCGGTCACCGGCTGCTCCGGCATAGCAAACATGGGCATTCGCTTCGGCTGGCTTGATAGTAGGACATGCGACGAGAGTTGACAAGGAGAGCCCACATGTGAACTCAAATGCTCGTCTCTGCTATCTGCACGGCCAAATCTCACGGCATGTTCAGTGGTATCCAGGGAGACAGGCTCCGCAGGGGCTGTAGGCACGTGTGAAAGCCTACTAGGATCTGTTTCTTCGGAGACTTGCTCGATTGGGTCATTGAACATGGTGGGTGTTTCCGGGTTGCCACACGACAGCGACTCTTTAGGATGTCCCGGCGCAACGAAAATACCAGTTCCCGGGTTCTGGAAGCCTTCGTTTAACACCGGCGTGGGATCCTGCCCGTCATTGATGGCTTGCACTTTCTTCTGAAGATTGGAAAGGGCCGTGGGATCGGTCTCATATGGCCTGCGGTCGACTAGATTCTCCTTGTCCGGATCAGTAGGCGACGTCTGCATATCCTGCTCGTCTGCTGTCAGCGGAAGCGAGTCCGGAGTGATCAAAGGACTACTCTTGCCGTCTCCATGCGTGGCAGCCTCGACTTCAGCGCTATTCTCGCCGACGTCTTTGGCAGCTCCAGAATGTTGCGACGTAGAGTTGGGGTTGTGTTTCTTCCGCTTTGCGTCGGCTATCAGTCGGCTGAAGTCGTCCTGATGTCGTTTTGAATAAGCATTTCCATCAAAGTCCTTTCGCATCACGGCGTGTGAAAGGCCGTTCCCTTGTGGTGCTTTACCACCCTGGGTCTTTTCCCATACGTCTAGTTCCCGTAACAGCTCTCGTCTTGATCTGGGACTGTTGGAATCGCAATTCGCATTCCAAATGTTCACCCATTCCCGATGTCGATTGATCATCAGCTGTTTTGAGCCAGTCCCCAGCAGTCCCTGCTCCTTCAGCTTCTTCGACAGCGCATTTTCTTTCAACATGCCGTAGTTGAGCTCGTTGATGCGATCCTGCGGACGCGCGCCTTGATCAGCAGGTGGCCTCGAGGAGACAAGACCATTGCGTGGTGTCCTTGAGCTGGCTCGACTGGCCTGTTTCTTCTCATCCTCGCACTTGTCCAGGTGATTGAAGACGTCGGCTTCCTTCATGCGCTTCCCACATCCCAAAGGACATTCTACCAACCCGTCCTTGGCAGGTGAATCCGGTCCGAGCTCTTCTGCACCCTCGTCGTCGCTATCTTCAATCTCCACCGGGTCCTGCTGCGAGGTTTGCGATGCAGCTATGCGCCGGCTCTTTGCCCTCGTCGTGCGACCTCCGCTCTCTGCGACTGCTTCCACCTCGTCGTCACCCAGTGCTACCGCACGTTTGCGCTTCCTGCGTTTCATTGTTGCCTCCACTTCCTCGTTCGACTTCCTCGCCACTTCCAGCACCGTCGGTCTTGCTTCCAGGAAGGTCGAGACCACCTCTTGGATGGCCCAATTGTTCCGCAGTTTGCTGGCCTGGTCGGAAGCGCGACATGCCGGACATTTCCCATCTGCGGACAAAGACGTGCGTATGCATCGCGAGCAAAAGGTGTGGTTGCAGCTCGTGATCATGGGGGTATCGTAGAATTCTTTGCATATCTGGCAGTGGAGGGCATTCTCCAGCGGCGCAAGACTTTTCAACGACGTGGAGAGCCAGTCGGTACTGTCGGGCACGTTGTATGCGTCGTCCATGGCGTAAGATGCGCTGCTATGGTCGAGGATGCGGCGTGATGCTTACCTGAGGCTTATGCGCAGAACTAGTTCGATGCTCGACGCGAAAGCGACGCGCTGCATCGCGGAAAGTGATGACCTCACACTGTCACACTTCACTTGGCCTCCGGGCCTTCCCGTCCGGGCCTTCCCTCCCGGATTCCCAACTCACTGCGACGACAACAACACATGTAGCGAACGGATACTACCTTACTATACATACATGTACTACATTCTCGGCCATTGACTGAGACACACTACCGCGCAGAGCCATACAGCACTATAAAGTCCGTCCCGCTTGGCGTGCGCGAGAAGGTCCAAAGCACCTCACGAAAGTGCTTGGTATAAGCACTTGTTCATTTCAAAAGTGGTGCAATGTTGACTCGGCAAGACCTCCTAAGGCCGCCCGCCAATGCAGCATCCATGATCCATCTCGTCCGAACCGACCCTCATCGGCTTCCAGGACTACCTAGTCTCAGCTTCGTAACGTTCCAACGCCATTGAGGCACTTCTCAAAGATCTTCTGGAAAACGACTGCCCCTCCCTCACGGCGTATTCGCATCTCGTATCTTGGCAACCTAAACCAAGTAGTTTACCCAGCAGCTCGCCGTTACTTTGCCGCGCGATAATAAATTCGAGGATTAGAGAAAATAAGTGCAGATTTAGTTCTATCATTTCTTTCAAGAGCATCCATCTACGCATCCCCCCTCCCAACTTGATCCATCCATCCATACTATATCCACGCCAACAACACCAACTCACAATCCCACCCTCACTCACTCACCATGAAATCCGTCACCATCACCTCCACCTTCCTCGCCCTCCTCTTCGGCGTCGTATCCGCCACAGCCACTCCCGAAGCCGTACCACAACCTTTACAATTCACTCCTCGCGGGCCTCCCGATTTGATGTTCAACAAGCGACAGAGTTGCTTGCCCGAATGTCCTGATGGAGTAAGCAACAGCAGCAGCAGCAGCAATTCCTTTTTTCCTCCAAAAAAAAAATCTCAAGAGTGAAAAAAAAAAAAGGAAACAGTGCTAACACACCACCCCACAATTTAGACTCTAGTCGTATGTTACTGCGGAACAGGAGCGATTTGTATGGGAGGAGAATATGTTTCTTGCGTAAGTATTTTTTTCCCCTCATATACCCACCCATCCCCCAGATACACTTGTGCAGGTATCCAGAAATAACATTCATGCACTAAACAAAAATTTACCTTTTGTACTAATTTGCTTGCTTCATAGTAAACAACCAACGATCAAACGTGGCGGGGAGTGTGCTTGGACGTACGTTTCCACACAGCACTTTGAAACAGGACCTTACCTTACCTTACCTCACCTCACCTCAAACGTCTCTCACCACCAACAACAACTACAACTAAAAGATTCCCATCTCAACTCTTTCGTTCCGTCTTCTGCTTCCACTACATGTACCTTACCTGAATCTCCATCTTGCTGGAATTGGCCAATGTGATGCTCCTCCTCTCATTTCTTCTTCTTCGAGCACGACCATGAGCACTTTGGCATAGGGCGAACAGACAGATAGACAGACAGCATACTGTATTAGTGACTTGCTGTGATGAGCTTTATCCACGCTCTGGGGATCTGAGACAGGTCGTATACTGAACAACGAATTCATCATCGCGGACTTTGTATTACGTAGGGTAGTTTCTGTGCTATCAGTCTGGGATATCGCGCTTCGCGATGTACACCAGAAGTGATCTGTACACACCATGTGCCGAATCAGAATGCAGTGTGCCACCTCCTATACACCCAGGACTGGGAGGGATCTTCTGCATGTTTCCTCGCCCTTCGACGCGTCACCCGGAGGATATATTGCATATGAGCAGTATCCAAGATGGCTGCCCAGTCTTTCACTTCCCTAGCATACGGCGGGCCAGGATCGCATCGCCACACCTGCTGCTTGTCCCATACCTTCGCGAGAAAATGATGTGTGAGGGATGGACTCCGAAGTTGGGGGCGAGACTTGGATATGCTATCGATCTCGGCGTGTCTGACGTATCTGCGTGTGGTGACGTGTCCTCGCTCGCCAGCGAGTTTCCGTATTGAACACCGAAGTTGTGATAGATGCTATCTGTGGTTCGGCTGGCATGGCTTCGGCCGCTTGGGGGTATCGTCATCAGACTGCTGTGCTCCGGCTTGGGAGTCGGCATAGCTTCTCTTGCGTGTACTATCGCGTTGCCAGCGCTGTGGTCTTGGCGTGGCGTCTTCATCCGGTTCCCTATCTTCGTCGTGCGGCTGAAGTGTATTTGCACCATGAATGTGAGTGACGCGATGCTTGATCGCACCCAAAGCTTCCGATCCTTCTGCTATAGAAGGCTGTTGTATGTGATGGTGATTTGAGTGAACACTGGAGACGGAGCTCTCTCGGCTATGACGGGTCACAACGCTCGTCGGGGGCGGTCCAAATGCAGGTCCTGGAGTCTGATACACCGTTTTTGGAGAACCGCTCACTCCGAGTGCGGCGAGGATGTCGTCTTGAACCGGATCATGTATAGCTGGGAGCATTTTGGGGCGAACGGTGTTGGTTGTCGACGATTGTCGGCGGCTGTGGGGCTGTACCGATCCGTGTCGAGTATGTGTGACAGACCCGGCCCTGCTGTGAGCTACTGATCCAGCTCGTGAGTGTGTAATGGAGCCAGCTCGGACCTGGTTGATAGAACCAGCTCGACAATGAGCCACCGAGCCAGCACGAGAGCGCGCCATAGAGCCAGCACGAGAGCGTCCCACTGATGCGTACCGACGGTTAGCACGAGACATTACTGCATCGAAGTCGTCCACCGCATTGAACTGCCCACCAAACTCTTCGGGGCGCTCTGTACTCCTCCGAACGGAACCTTCGTGCTGATCATGTTCCATCATATGACTGTGACTACTCGCTCGAGACTCTGGTCGTGCAGGAGTGGACGCCCGTGTGAGGGCAGGTGTTGGGGAGCGCGGTCCCGCTGCCCACTCAGCGTCGAATTGTTCCTTGTAGCGGGCGAGCAAATCAGATATACTGATCAGCTTGTTGCACGTTTTGGGAAACTCTTTAAAGATGACACTGCTTTTGAGGTCATGCCACGCGTCGGTCTGTCTCACGCTCAGAAGTGCTTCCTCATCAACGCACAGAGCAGATACGCCTTCTCGATGAGGTGCCGAGACAGCGCGAGGTGCAAGAGCTTCCAGTTCAGCTTCCCTGAAAGTGCATGGCAATGCAGATCTGGAAGGCAGGGGCGCCTTGTGTTCGATGATGCCAAGACTCAAAGAGGCGATGATCTGCTCAGGATGGCGCGCATAGTAGCACTCTTCGTCAAATTCGTGCTCTAGAGCGTTGTCGTTGACATTGAGGTCCTGAGGCGACAAGAGATCACCATTACCGTCGAGATCAGAATTCGGTACGGTGGGCACAGAGTAACGTCGGTCTGGAACCATGGCCTGTGCTGGTGCTTGCCAGGCAACATGCGGCGCATAATCGTGGTAGCCCGGCAGGTGGCTGGGTGGGGCCTGAGCATAGGTCTGCGGCGTCGAATAACCAGTCTGTTGATTTGGGAGATAGGTCGGCTGGGTATAGCTTTGTCCTGACCACACTGGCGACTGCCCATAAGGTGGAGTTGGAAGCTGCTGAACGGGCGGAACGTACCCTGGAGGTGGCGGATATCGCGTTATGATTGGATTACCTCTGACTTTCTTTGCGGGAGGAGGACCACTGCGTGTGTCAGCCGGAGGCAGAGAATGAAAATATGCCAGCAATGTGAGGGGAATAGAAGAGGCTACATACCCGCCGCCATATGAAGCCGAGTGGCCATGTCTCGGGCGCTGATAACCCGTCGAACCGGCGTCCATTTGAAGGAGAGAGAAAGTGCAGTATCTTTCTTGTGAAAGAAGAGCCCTCGGATAGAGGGCTGGGGAAATGCAAGCAGAGAAGCTGAAGGCGATGACGCAGAGAGCGTGCTGCCAAAGAGAAGTTCTGATGCGGAAGAGACAGAGAGAGGGGGGGGAACAGAGAGCGGAGTAGAGAGAGGGGGGGGGGGGAGAGAGAGATGTTCTTGGCGTGTAAAGAGACAGCGGAGCGGAAAATTGCCTTCTGTGTACTGCTAAGATGTTGGTGCTGCAGTTCTTGTGTTATTTGCCTTGGAGCGGAGACGAGCAAACAGGCCAAGTGCTATCAGCATGCAATCATCTCGAGTGGCTCAAGGAAGTCGAGGCCCCTGTGTTGTTGTCCCAGCGGTATAGAGAAAAGTCGGCTGGGAGGTCGTAGGGGTGAAGAGTAACCGATTTTGTTGTTGTTGTTGACGACGTTTGGCCCACAACAACAACAACCCTGTCCCTGTCGAATTAGAACTAGCCTTTCCGGCTCAGGGTCCGACTTCCAGATTGAATCAACGACACCCGCAGCGGCAAAAGCGCACCCCCCAACCACTACCACTACCACTACCACCACCACCACCACCACCACCTCCTCCACACATGTCCTGAATCAGCACTGTCTGTCCATTCGCTCTTGATGTGTTGATTCATGACGATGTTGGCTGCCAGCATTCTTGCGCTCCTCCCGCTGTATGAAGCTCGTCCGTCCTGAGAAATACCGCTCCCACGTCCGCTCGCGCTGCGGACTCATCCCCTTGCGGCAATTGAGCAATGCCTGGCCTGCCCGGTATGCACCCACTCTCGGCGACAGCAAGGTCGCGGGACGCTCATGTTACGGTATGCGCTGACGAGCCGTGTAGCCAGCGTGGACCTTGACGAATGCATCAGCCGACTCTACAAGAAGGAGCTTCTCGCCGACTCGGTCATTGAAGCGATATGCGCCAAAGCCAAAGAGCTGCTGATGAAAGAGAGCAATGTCGTGCACGTACAGTCACCAGTCACGGTGGTCGGGGACATACATGGCCAGTTCTTTGACATGATTGAGATCTTTCGCATTGGGGGATACTGTCCCGACACCAACTACCTCTTTCTCGGTACGTCCCGCCGTCCAGTCGCCCCCGCCCGACTCGAGCATGAGCATGAGCATCAGCATCAGCATGAGCGTGGCATGGCGTGGCATGGCCGTGTGTGGAAAGGCAAGAGCAAGAACACCAACAAGAGCCGAGTCTGACCACAAGCAATCACAGGCGACTATGTCGATCGAGGGCTGTTCAGCATCGAAACCATCTCACTGCTGGTCTGCCTCAAGCTACGCTACCCCGAGCGCGTCCATCTAATCCGTGGGAACCACGAAAGTAGAGGCGTGACACAGTCATACGGCTTCTACACCGAGTGCAGTCGAAAGTATGGGAACCCTGCCGTTTGGCACTACTTCACCGACATGTTCGACTACCTCAGTCTGTCTTGCGTCATTGACGATAAGATCTTCTGCGTTCACGGTGGCTTGAGTCCGAGCATACACAGCATTGACCAGATCAAGATCATCGACCGGTTTCGAGAAATACCACATGAAGGACCCATGGCTGATTTGGTCTGGTCGGACCCGGACGGCGAGCGTGATGAGTTCAGTCTGAGCCCACGAGGAGCCGGATACACATTTGGGGCGCAAGTGGTCAAGAAGTTTTTGGAAGTGAATAGCATGAACCACATTCTCCGCGCACATCAGCTGTGTAATGAGGGGTATATGGTCATGTTTGACGATCGCCTCTCGACAGTCTGGAGTGCACCAAACTATTGCTACAGATGTGGGAATCTGGCATCGGTACTGGAAGTTGGGCCGGGGGGCGAGCGAAAGTGGAACGTTTTTGACGCTGCACCGGAGAACGAAGCGCACAGGGTGGAGCAACAGAACCAGCAACAGCATGCGGGCAACGATCCAGTGCGAGACTACTTCCTCTAGATGATTGAAGTACATAGCGGGTAGGCGTCTGACTTTGCTGGGGCCGCTTGCATTTTCAAGATACCAATGTGTATATGGGGCCATCAAGTACGTATACAGCATCTTTGCACCTCGTCCTCGTTATGCGATTTCCGCCAGCTGCCTTCAGTCCCCGTCCAAGGTTGCCTTCCATAGTTATTCCTCTGAAGTCTCAGACGGATCGCACGGGTTTTGATCGGGCACTTGATCTCTGACGCGTCCAGACTCTTTCTGCCAAGTCTCCTACTACGCCGCGACGCTTGGCACGACAGCCCCCGAAGCGACGCTTACCTTACCTCCTAGGTGCCTAGCCCAGCCTCAGCCTCTCCCCACAAGGACTTTTAGTACACAGTCCTCCCACAGCCGTTCGATAGTCCATCCGCACACCCCTGTCCAGCGTATAGGAGGACGTGTTTTTTGATTCTCACCGGGGTCAAAATCGTGAAACACCTTTGTTTCGCCGCTTGCAAGGTGTAATTACTCCACTTTTTGATCCTCGCTAGGTATTCTGCACCTAAAGTCCGGGAACTTATACCTCTTGGGTAATTTTCAAGGTGCGGATAGACTATCGAACGGCTGTGGAAGGACTCTGTACCCTCGCTTGAAAGCTACTGCGAACCCAAAGTCACACTATCAAACCCATATATCCTACAAACATGCCTGCTACTTTATAAGAGCCAGCCAGCCAGCCTACTAGAATACAACCTCCTTTCTTTCTTACAAGCAGAGAAAAAAAAAATGAGCCTAGATGGCCTAAGAACGCGCCCGCGAGTAAAAAAGCCCGCAAGATAATATTCTAGGTATTAATGAATTTAATGTCTTATCAAAAAAAATCTAATACATTCAAAAGGAAGCTTGCTGCTGCAGTCGAGACTACATAGGTACTAGGTACTCTCCTCCCTTCAGGACGGGCTTGCAAATCAGGAATAGTCTCAAGGTATCTGTTCCGCCAAATTCCTCAAATCCGAAGCTCGTTTCTGTACAGCTTCCAAAACGGGTTCACCCAATTTGACAGTTTCTTCCCATGTTAAAACGATGGATTGGCGGAGTTTATGGCTAGAAATTTTCACAATCACAAATTAGTAGCCATTCAAAAACCCGCAACATTACGTGTGAGCAGCAACAGCAAGAGCCAAAAAAAAAAATAAGAAGAAAGAGAAAAGATACTCACCCCCTCCCATCTCCAACTTTGACCAGAGCCGGAAAAACGACAAATTCATCCGCCATCAGCGTGGACCAAGCGAATTCCCATTCGGTTCTCGAACTAAACATCAATCGAAATCCCAAGCGTGTAGTTGCTGCCACGACGTTTTCTAAATCGCGGACGCGAGCTCCGCCGTAGCCTGTGGCGATGTAGGGTTGCAGGAGGCAGACGAGGGTTGTGATGAGGTCTTCGTGAGGGGTGGTGGTGGTGGTGGTGGTTTCGTTTGGGGGGGTGTGGGGATGAGGGTTAGTTACTGCTGCTGCTGCTGCTGCTGCTGAGGAGGAGGAGTGTGGTGGTGAGGAGGAGGAGAAGGGTGGTGATGATGATGATAGATTGTGGTGAGGAGGAGCGTGAATGGGAGGAAATAATTTTCCGGAGATTTCTCTCCATTTTGCAAAGAGGATCCGGTTGTCGGGTTCTTCTTGTAGTGCTGCTGCATTCGTGGGAGCAATAGTGGTAGTGCTAGTACCATGAGGTAGAGGAGGAGAAGAAATCACACGATTACTAGCCCCACTTCCCGGATTTGAATTCAAGGGTAAAGGTTTCCTTGTAACTTCCAATCTCTTCTTCTTCGCTTCCTCATCCATCATCATCATCGTCGTCGTCGTCATCATCTTTCCCGACGAAACATCCTGTCGACGTCGCGACATCGCTTGCGCGCATTGCACCAATTCGGGAGGTAAAAGTGTTCTTTCAATGGGTGCGTCGAGTTGGATAAATCGGAAGAGTGACCATGCGATCAGCAATCGGATGGCTTCGTGTCGGGTTTCTGGCGTTTGGAGGAGGGAGTCCATGGCGATGGCATCGAGTGGCGCGGTGGGACCGAGGAGATCGTCAAGGGTGGAGAGGTTGGTGTCACACGAAGCGCTTTTGAGGGCGACTTCATCTTCGATGGGTCGGAGATTGTAGTACAGTTCGGCGTGGCCTTTGATTGCAATGTTGAGATTGACGAATTCTTGGCGAACTTCTTGGTCGAGGGTTTCAATGGTAGCTATGGAAGAAGAGCTGGAATCGAGGGAACTAACAGGAGAGTTTTGTTGTTGTTCGGGCGTCGAGAGGATTCTTTCAGGATCGATGGGTCCGCCTCGATGAGACCGAGATGCTTTCTCTCCGAATATCGACTCTTCGAGGTTCCCATCCTCGCCATCTGCCCCTCTAGCAGGCCTCTTTTTGAGAATGTATCTATGTCCACCCAGCAGATCCACCACCAGACCACAGATGAGGATTCCAGCAATGAGGCTTCCCATCGCGATCCCCACTGCCGCGCCCGTCGAAACAGTCATGATTGTGTCTCGTTGTCGTCGCTACCTTATCATTCACTTGTTACAGACTGCGTACACACGGCTCGCTCCAGCGCAGTCTACCGGAGTTGGACCCTCAACACTTGAAGTCTTGTTGTGGCGCAGTCCGAAAAGAATCAGAACTGTCGCTGCTGTACGACGTTCTCGGTCGTCCCACACGACTGTACGATGCAGCTCGATTGTGACGAGGCGCAGGATGCGAGTGTCCGAATCGATCAAAGGGATCTCTTGCAACGTGGGTCGAACCTGGTGGTAGCGGAGGGCCGCCTACGCTCGAGTGTGTGTATGGTCTTTGCTGCGTCGGTCGGAGGCCACGCTGGTCGTCATTAAAATCTCGGTCGAAGATCGGTCGGTTCTTGTTCTTCTTCTTCAATTTGTTGAGGTTGTTGCGCCACCAGCGTTTCCAGGCAGAAGGCATCTTGAACAAGTAGAAGCGGACAATGATGAGTTGGCACAATTATAAAAAGAGCCCGGGATATACCTTATATTCCTATCGTACGAGGAATTACCGTCAGAAGGTCAACAAGGCCGAGAGAAGCAGGTTGCAATTTGGCAGGCAGCGTTTTCGTGTTGGATGTTATTAGATCATGGTGGTCTGTGAGCTGATGCAGATGCAGCTTTTGACGTGGATGGCAGCAGAAGAAGATGGCGGACGAGGGCGGTCAAAGGCAGACGGCGTGAAGAAGCAGATTATCTTATTGAGACGTAATCTGCCACTGACGAGGGCATCTCGTCGTCAGCAGTGTGGCAGAGGTAGCTGCCCAGGTTGATGGCGTTTCACCAACAAGGTTTGCAAGGGACGACCCAGTCTTCCGTGCCAAACTAGGCTGAAACTCAAGGCATCACCGGAGCTCATCTTCAACAAGACTGAAAACAGAAGTCATCAAAGGTTGATAATGGCATCAGGCATGTGGGAAAATGGACAGGTCGGTTCACGGAGACTTCAGGAGTCGTCCCACAAGATTTGGCCACTGTGTTGGAATCTGTCCGACGTTGCTCAAATGGCGGGCGACGAGTTGAAATCATCGAACAGCTGCCTGGCCGCCAAGAATGCAGCTGTCAAACGTCAGTTTCGTCAGGATCCTGGTGTACTTGTCGAGCTGGGGTCTGTACCAACAAGAACGATCTGCCTGCCGTCCTTGATAAATCGGCGATCGCCCCAATTATCGAGCTGATACGCAATTGTGTCCCACTGCTATGGTATTCTACCAGGAAACTCCAAGTGAGATGCGAATACCTGTACGAGAATGAGATTGGCAACTGCTAACCGCCCAGTCTAGACGCCTGCGCTTCTTTATCTATCCTCTATCGTCAGTCGAGTTCTCTGCCATAACTTCGTCAGCCTCGTTGGCGGTGCTTCTCTTCCGCACACAATTGCTCGCTCAGAGCTTCTCCAAGACGGCATCGACGCCAGAGACGCTGACCGTCTGGAGCTCGGTCTCGAAGCCAGCGTAAGTGACCTTGCCGTGGTCAATGATGGCAGCAAAGCGGCCGTTGCGGCTTGCGTCTCCTTGAGCGGTCCAGCCAATCTGCTTTGCCAGGTTCGTCTCCAGATCGCTGGCGAAGATTGTGAACTTGTTGTCCTCATCAGTGGAGCCGAGGTTGACCTTTTGCCAACCTGACATAACGAAGGCGTCATTAGGGGCTATGATAATGAGCTGCTCAACACCCTTCTTCTCTGCAGAGACGTTAGATGGAAGACCTGGGCGCAAAAAGGCACAACAGCGACTCACTGAGGTCTGCGATGTGTTCAATGTAGCGAGGAACGTGGTTGGCCGAGCAGGTGGGTGTGAAAGCACCTGGCAACGACACCAACACGACCTTCTTGCTGGCGAACTCCTTGTCGGTGTCGTAGGTGATGGGAAAACCACAGACTTTGGGGTCGGGGGTGGTCCATGCAATGTATTTGAACTTGACTGGTGAGCGTGTCAGACTTCACTTGCTCATGCTCCCATCTGATATTGTCACTCAGCTTACCGCCCTCTGGGAACTTCTCGCCGGCCGTGAGTCCAGACATGTTGATGCAGGGAGTGAGGTGTGGAGGGGTCGAAGGTGGGTTGTTGTTGTTGGAGATTCGCACTGAAGAGGCGGCGGCGGTGGTGGTGGAGGAGGAGGACGAGGTGGAGGAGGAGGACGAGGTGGTGGTGGTGGAGGTTGTTGTTGGTAGTTCTGTTGTTGTCGGAGATCGAAGAGTGGAAGAAGATGACACAGTGAGATTGGCCTCCCGTCTTTACACGTCACTTCTTCTCGAATGATCCACCGCAATGGAATGGTCCAATTTCAATGGTGTCGTCCGTTTCTCGAATGGGAGAAATAGCAGCGACGGCCGACTAAATGCCGCCACCGTCCAAAGCAGCATCGGGACAAGGATCACATCTTATCAACTCACAATCAGCCCACTTCGCACGCCGCCCCCTCGCTCTCCGATGCCGGACCCCCCTTTCAAACCTATCTCTATCATCATCAGGAGATATATCGGAACCTACATGTACCTACCTGACCTCGACCGAATACTCGAAGAAATTATCAGCCTCTTCCAAGAAAGAACACCTTGCGATCTACAGCCCATCGTAGCCTGCCCTAGCGAACGAATCAATCCTACACTCCAAAGCCTCCCCCTATTATCTACCACTACCCCATCATCTTCAAAGTTCAGTTTTCGCAGAATATGCAAGGTAAGCTCAGGCAAACACGAGTATGCCTATCAATCAACCATAGGTACTCACCTTGAGATTCCCCCGGCCCGCGCAAACCCCCCGCCGCGATAAGATAGACAAGACAAGAGGAGATATTTTGAGTTCCGTATTTAGATACTAGCATTTTTATCTTTGTTATAATGTGCGTTAGAGATAATGTATGTGTATGTATATGTGTATGTGTATAGTATCTGGCTGATTGGAAGAGGTTGCGCTGATTGTTTAATGATATAAAGGTATGTATGTACCTTATGTATGTGTTCCCGAAAGGTAAGTTTGAAGTTACCTACGTGACGTTTTGCGGAGAGATTGCTGGGGAGAGACTGTTGCGAGTGGGCTACCTAGGTTGCTTGGGGAAGGGTAAGTGTTTTCGTCTAGGAAGATGTATTAAGAGATTTTCCTTTTGTTAGGACTGAAGAGCAGGAGATACTCGAGTAAGGTAGGTATAGGGAATTCATCGGGTCAAGTAAAAATTTATAATCCCTATCTACACTTCCTCCCTCCCTCCCTCCCTCCAACGAAAACAAACCAAAAAAAACTACATGTAGCTAATACCCCCTCCCAGACTGATACAACAAAAACGCCTTCTTCGCCTTTCCCTTATAAGTACCACTATCATCATCATCATCATCATCATCCTTCTTCTTCTTCTTCACAATCCCCGTAGGTTTCGATCCCTCGCCCGGCTTTTTCTTATTCTTCTTCTCTCGAGCCTTTCTCTTTCTCTCTGCTTCTTCTTGTTCTTCTAATTCTCGCTCTTCAGAGCTCATGCCGTCATCGGGCGACGAGGCTGGACGGGTGCGAGGAGAGGTGCGAGGAGGAGATGTTGCTGGAGGAGCTTCTGTAGATGTTGTTAGCATATTTTGAATCTTGGGACTTTTTTTTATGTTGAGATACACAAGTACCATTTTGTTGCGATGCACCCGATGCTGGTGCTAGTGCTGCTGGTCCTGCTGCTGGTGCTGCTGGTCCTGCTGCTGGTCCTGCTGGTGCTGCTGGTGCTGCTGGTGCTACTGGTGCTGCTAGTGCTGCTGGTGCTGCTGGTCCTGCTTGTGCTGCTGGTGCTGCCTGCGCTGCCTGCGCTGCCTCATCATCATTTTCATCATCACTGTTCAAGTATATTACGCCTCTCTTTCCTCTTTTCTTAGCGGGTTGCATCTCTGTAGGTAGGTAGGGAGTCCTAGGATATATACTTCTCGTAGACGGTAGGTATCTTTACAGCACTACTGGGTACGCGTACTCGGGGATGCGTTATATTGTAGACATTGGATAGGACCAAGACTTTGGACAAAGCCTTTTTCGATGCTAGGAAGTGCCGGATTGGGTTAAAGAGCCCCATTGAATGAATGAGAATAGAAAGTAAGGGTACTGAGCTTGGATGCTTCTTTGTTATTACTCCCCGAATGCAGAGTGGCGAGTAGATCTCTAGAACATTATTGCAGTTGCGACGAATCACCGCACCGAGACTGATGACGATATCTCGATAGTCATCTGAAGGCCAACAGGTCCGCCTCGCTCATCATCGACTGCTTGCTTGCTGAGTAGGTCTTTTCCCAATTTGGTCCAATTGTCTGTCGATGATCGCAGCCTATAAGCACAGCGTAGTCAGTAGCGTGCTCCCGAGAAGCGCAGGAACCGGAGACCGTCTCTTGCGCGTCAAGACTGCCTGACATTCGATCCAGATTGTATACCGTAGGTCACTTTGTATAGGTCCGTCCATCCAAGTACGAAAGACTCCACCTAAGGTCCGAAGTCGAATAAGGCCCTCAGTACAACATCGCGAAGATCCATCTCCACAACCTCTATCAGGGATGTCCAAACCAAATTGCCGCTAGCCGGTTCGAAGATCCCGTCTTCCAGAATACATATATCAGTCCATCTTTTCTCATCCCCATCTCTGCCACAAGAGCCTCTACTCGATGAACAGAAAAACCGCAATATGCAGCCCCTCGAGTGAGATAGCATCCTAAGTAGTGTAAGGAGTCTGCCGGGTCGCTCGCTTATAGCCATTTTGCGGAATTTACCCTTTTCGACATTTCATATTGATAGCTTGATTGTGTTTAGGAGGACAAGGTCCAAAAAAGAGAAGCGAAGGAAGCAAAAGCTTGAAGTCTCGAAAGGTAGTTGCTTTTTGCGGTATTACCTAGAAGGTACCTGAACTGGAAAGGTCCTGTGTATACGTTTGCTAAGGTATAATAGTAGCTAAGCAGCGGTGGCGAAGTCGTTTGTAGTATTGTAAGGGATAGTAAGCAGCGAGAAGACAGGGCAGGTAGGAGGTATTGAAGGCAATGTCAATGATGCCAAGAAGTCTTGGCGTACTCGTCTGATTTGCGGATGATACATAAAGTATTCCCGATCACTTGTTGTACGATCTCCTGATTCTCCTCTCATGCGGGCCGGACACTACATATATTTCCTCCCGCTCTTCGTTCTTGCTCTCTTGCATCGGATGTGAACATGGCCAGTCGGGGTCGCTGGCACATAAAGAAGTCAAACCGTGAGTGAGTAGTAAAGATCGCAAGGACTGTCGTGCAAGCGAGATTAAAAACACGAAGTCTGTACTATTCAACCCAGACCTCTCTCTCCCTTCCGATGACACGATCTCTCTCTCTCTCATCAATACCCATAACAAAACCCCCCAGCAGTCGTACTCATCACATCCTTCACCCTCACATCCTTCGCCAACCCCATCATAGGCAAAACATCATTCAAACTCGCCTTGGACCCATCCGAATTATTCCCCCCAAACATCACAGCTCGAGCCTTCAAATCCGCCTGTCGCCACTGCTCCCACAATCGATCAATTTGCGCATGATGCACAAAAAACATAGGATCATTTGGACTCGTCGAAGGGCCCATATCGCCGCTGATTCCCTGATGGACTGCTCCATGCGGACCATTCTCGAGCGCCTGCCAGAAATCGACAAAAGTTGTTTTGGCTGTGATATTCGCCATTACGGCGGGAGCGTATGCCGCGCCTTGCATTCGCCCGATTCCATCGGGCGGGTTTGAGCCGATGCCGTCGTTCCAGGCGCGGTTGAGGCAGTGTGGTTCGACTGTGGTTTGGCGGTATGTGGGACGGAGATTTTTGAAGGGGCCGTCTGTGACGCAGCGGATTAGAGGGCCGGGTCGCGCTGGCGATTGAAAACCTGTCCCGTTGCCATTGCCGCCGAAGCCGGAGGTCGGTGACCAGATGGGGGATTTGCTCGGTGCGGCGTTGTCTTGTACCCAGTCCCAGTAGGGGAAGGGGCCGGTGTAGGTGCAGTCGTTGCGGAGGGCGGATTCGTAGATGGAGGTGAAGTAGCGATGCCAGGGAAGGAATTTGGCGTTGAAGTGGACTGGAGAAAGAGTTAACTATGTTGTCATGGGGAATGAAGAAAGGATAGGAGGATCATATCGACGTGTGCGTGTGTGGTGACTTACTCTCTGTGTTCAGGTGAGCGTGTACGTATGCAAAGTCTTCATATAGACTTGTTTTTAAGCCCAGGCGAGAAGGCTTCGTTGTCAAGCATTGTACGGCTTTGATATAGGTCGTCTTTTGTGCCTGTGAGAGTGCTCGCCACTCGGGTCGTTTTGAAGGATTCGTGCATGATGATGATGATGAGTATGATGCTGGTGGTGTTGCGGGTACCGCAGCAGCTTCGACAATGGCCAAGTAACTGGAAAGTAGGACACAGACACTATTGAGTAGCATCATCTTGTATATCCTGTCGTGCCCAATATTGAATTGTGGTATTGATCAGTGTGTATGTATATACAGCAGATGCTGATGGAAGACTCTTGAACTTGACCTTTCGCAGCGCAAAGTGATAGGTTTATATCTCTATACCACATACCCGTCAAGACTACTTACCGCTTCTATGACTATGGGTGGCGAAAAAAACAAAAGTCTCGACAAGTTCTTGTTGCTTCTAGGCTTGGAATACGAGAGACATACATATTTCGATTTGGGAATGCCTAAATTTAGGGCAGGACGGGACTTAGCGTGAAGTTGTATACAGGTACAGAGGTACTGTATAGCGCTATCGGCCTCTCTCTTCGGCTCACCGATCTCAATCGTCGACGGATATAGGGGTAGAACTGTGTCTTTCTTGCTGATTTCATGAAACTTCAAGTGAAGTCTCTTGCCTCTGCAGATACAGGCGAGCAAGTAAAGGTATAGAAATGCGGTCAAGAGAGGAACGAACGGGCCTGCGATGAACAGACATTCCATCAAAAGGAGGCTGAGAGCATCGGTAATGCACGGCATTTGGAATAACCTGGTAGGATCTTGACTGAAATGGTGGGAGGCCGATGTCGAGGAGAAGCCGGGAGCTGTATCGGCTTCTTTCCGCTGGAGATGCCGTATTTCGGGTTGAAGATGTTTGCGGCGTAGGCGGACCTTGTAGGAGGTAGAGGGTAGACATCCGGGCGGAGCGAGAAGAATGCCAAGACTCGTACTGATTTAAGCTTACTTCTAAACACGTTCATGCTTTGTCAGCCTTTCAACTTGACTTCCAGCTTGCATCCATCATCGACACCACCACTGTGAACCACCCAACATCATCCTCCTCTTCCGCCACGACAGGTCCAGAAGAGATACGCAACGAACATGTCTGACATTCCCCCAATCAACGCGCTCTCAGGCAGCACCATCTCGAAATACATGCTCGCATCGTTCCCCGCCAACGCCTCCCCACAACTGCGCAACGCCTACGATGCCATCGCTCTCGCTGCACACGCTTCCATGCTGGCTGTCGGCTTCCGACTAGTAGGACTCGGGGAGGAACACCGCGTTGAAGCAAGCTCAGACCACGACTCGCCGCAGCCTCTACCAACAGAATGGAACGCATCGAGTGGCAGCTATGCCTTCCGCTACAAGCACGGCCAGAGCAGCATGGAATTCCTAGTGAAAGTCTCCAGAATGGGCAACAAAGCCATCATCATGGCCATGGGAGTACCCGATGATCGGACACATACTACAGAAGTGAAAGCGGACGAGTACGTCAGTGCTGGGAATCTCCCGCTAGAGCTTGCAGAAGACCAGGAAAAGGACCAGAAATCCGATGCTATAATTTCAACTTTCATCAACGTTGGTCGACTGAGCGACTTTGGATCCCTCATGCGAGTCAAGCTCATTCAAAAGTTGGTGCCCAGTATGCAAAAGGAAGGTTACGAGGAAACGCGCGAAGAAGAAGACCAGGCAGCGACAGGAAGCAGGCAACAGCCAGCACCCGGACGAGAAGGAAACCAGCCTCAATATGACCCGCTCCGAGAACAGCGAGATCCACCTGCAAGGCCTTATCCACTGCAAGATCCTCTCGTACAGCCCAGAAGAGGTCCCCTTCCCGATCCCATGCCAGGTTTCGACGACGAATACGAAGTGAATGGCCCTCCACGAGGAATGGGTCCACCCGGTGGTGGGCTAGGCAGATTCGGCGATCGCGATCTCTACCCACAAGGACTCGGGCCGTACGACCCCATGCGTGGTGGCGTCGGTCCTGGTCTCGGAGGCGGTTTCGGTGGCGGAGGCATGCATCCCACATTCGACGACCCGCTCTTCGCTGGCCAAGGCCAACAAGGCGGACGTCGAGGACAAGCCCCGCCAGGTGCGAGATATGATGATCCATTCGGCCCAGGATCCGGAGGACAAGGCGGTGGCCATCCTCGTGGAGCGGGTATGGGTGGTAGACCACCCAACCCATTTGGAGGATTTGGCGATGGTGATTTCATTTAAAAGAGCATAGCAGCAGCAGCAGCATGAACCTATCTACTTTTCTCTTTAAGTTTGGAAGAGCAAAGTAGCATAGTTTCTTTTTGTTTTGTTTTTGTACGAGTAGGAAAGGCGATGAGAAGACGAGCAATGCCAGCGACGAGACAACGACTCACGAACGAAGAAAGTATTTGACGAAAAGGGCATAGGAGACTTCCAGTATCTCCATCACAACAACAGTCCAGTGTCTTGTAGATAGTTAGGTGCCTGTCAATCACCAAGGTACTTTACAGATTCCATACTAGTATCAGAGCTTGACGTAAAATGTCATATGCAGAATGAGCTACCTACCTAGGTACCTAGGCCAGAAGCAATTATCAATCATACCTAGAGAAGCGAACGAAGCGCTTATTGTCTACCAAGGTACCATCTTTGTTACCTAGTAAACGTTCACTTCCGCCGTAAACCCTCCAACTCATCCTTTCTCTCCCGAAACACATCTTGCGCCTCCCTCTCCCTTCGACTCACAAAGCCTACTTCCTCTCTCAATTTCTCCAATCTACCCACGATGCCAGCTTCCTCTGCCACAATTTGTGCCTGACCCACCATCTGCTGTAATTTCACCTTTTCCAACGCTTCGGCAGCCTGACTGATTTTCGTCCTCAATAGTTTGCTTCGATTGATGTAGCCTCCGTGCAATTTCCCCAACTTCTTCTCGAGTACACTCCCCTTTTCGGAAATTTGCTGGATGGTCTCTTGGATGGTATCGAATGCTTCGGTGCAAAGTTGTTCTTCGTCGACTTCGTCTTCGGCATAACCGGCCAGACCGGGAAGGATGATAGGACTGGAGTGAGCCTTCTCCCAAGCGGCCGCAAAGGCTGAGCCGAATTGTGCACGATCGGAATCTTGTCCCATTTCGAGAATGACTTCCATTTGGGCGCGTTGCATCAGATCTTCAGAATATCTCGGAATACGCGGAGGTTTGCCACCAGTGAGGTGAGATCCGCCAAATAGCTTGGCATCATTGGCGATGAGGTGAGCAGCTTCTTCTGCTACACTGCGTTGAACTGGATTGACAATGGCTTGAGCGGATTTGCGAAGAGCGGTGATGTCGACTACTTTAGGACGGGGCAGACCTTTTTGCACGACTTGCGTTTGGCGCTTAAAGTCGGCCAGATCTTGAGCTCGCTTGAGTTCGGCATTGCGCGCATCACGGACCGAAGCATCTTCTGCTGCTAATTGCGCGGCGTGGGCGATTTCGTCACGCTCTTCTGGGAGGGCCTCGAGTTCAAATTCGGTCTGTTGCGGTTTGGGGAGGGAGGCAAGTTTGCCACGTAGAGAACTGCGAGAAGCCTGCTGGGCGAGCCGGATATCTCGAGGGGTTTGCGAGACGAGCTGCATGGAGCCGTCTTCCTGGTTTAGGCGGAAGCTGTCTCGAGGTGTCCGCATCGGGGTAGCTCCGACTGAGCCGTTCTGGAGACGAGCAGGTGTGGCCATGGGGTTTGGAGTACGCAGAACTTGCTTCGAAGGAGCCGCACCATCCAAGCCTGTGCCAGCTTCCGAAAGCTCTGCATTCTCTCCTCCCAGCAGAGCGGATTGTTCTTCAGTCCGAAGTCGTGCATTGCGTAGTTCGGCCTGGATGCGGTCCTCTTCTGGAGCTGCTCGAGGAGTGCGGAGAGGTGTGGCTCCGACCATGTTGTTGGAATAATTGCTGATCAGGCCTCGAGTCGCATCGTTCTCGCTGCTTTCCGCCAGTTGATGCGCCCGCTCCCCAGACATGCCCATCTTGACGATCTCTTCCAGTTCACCCTCACTAACTTGGGGCGCGGGCAACACCAGTCCCCTGCGCTTGCTACTCTGCTCTGCCTCTCTCAGACGTTGCTGTTGTGCCGTCTTCAAGTGTGCAGCGTGAGCACTCGCACCACCATCATCCTTCCGCCTCTTTGACTGTTGCTCGTTCGGATCCTGTCCGTCGCCCTTGCGCTTATTCGCCAATTGCTGTTTTCTCGGGTCGAACATTTCCCGCTCATGCTCGTTCGCAGCCATTTCTTCCTGTGTGTCAAAGAAGCCAGGCGCGGGAGCCTTTTCGAATGGAATGTCCGCATTGTAATCCATCTGGCCCTTCTTCCTCGTCGTGACTTTGACATTGATACCCGAAGCCTTCAGCTCGCGTCTCTTCTGCAGCACGGCCAGTCTACGACTCTCTTCCAGCTGTCTCTCTCTGGCCTTTCTCTTCGCTTTCTTACCCTGCGTATTGGCCAAGCGAGCTCGAGCCTCAGACAGCATCTCCTTCTCGTCCTCATCTAGATCGATGGTGTCCGGTCGAGCAGGCTTGCTCTCCGGATTTGGATCCAGTTCTCCAGGTCGCAGCCTCCGCACGTCGTCTGCGCTAGGTGCCTTTGTCTCGCCGCCGTCGGGACCTGCCAGTCCAAACTCAGAGCTCTCTCGCGCCTCGGCCTCGTCTAGCAGTTTCTGATATCGCTCGAGACATTGTGTCGCTGTCCGGCCAACGATGGGGGCGATCGTGCGCCATTGCGTGGGCATCAGCTTGGCCAGATGTAGCAGCTTCTCGTCCTCCTCGCGACTCCATTCGATCTTCTTGATGCCCGGGTCGATCCATTCAGTCCATCGTGCTTTGCACTGTTTGGCGGTTTTGCGCGCGAGGAGCGATGAAACTCGCGCCCACTGGTTCAGCCCATATTTGGAGACGGCCGCCTTAAGGATCTCGTCCTCGATATTCGTCCACACTCCTCCTTTGACGACCGGCATATTGCTGAGTTGGCTATGGTGAAAGTAGTGGGTGGCAGCAGGGGCAGTCTCGCGTTCGTAGTGAAGTGGAACTGTGGAATCGAAGAAGTCGAGTACGAGTCATGTGAAAGCACGGGAGTATCCTTGTTTGTCCGTCGCTGAATCGCGTCCTAAGCGTACGGTAGGTGCCTGTACATACGTTTCATCCCGTGACTATAGGTACCCATCCTCTCATCACCACGCGAGGAGACATTTCAACTTCGATCTAGGCCAACATGGCAAGCATCAGATCTCCCATTCGTGCTGCTACTACTGCCCGCATCCCTGCACCGCAAGTCCTGATACCAAGACACTTCTCCTCCTCAGTACAACGGAAACAAGGACAGAGCTCAGATCAACCTTCCAAAGATGATGAGAATCTTGCAGTCAAAGCTCAAGATGCAGTAGCATCAGGAAAACCCAAGTCAACCCATAAAACCGTCGCAGAAGCAGATGCTGAGCTCATGGAGAAGCTTGCGGGACATTCAGATGCCGGAGGTGCCGCGGGCGTGGAGTACGAAAATGGCAAACCTGTTGCGCAGAAACGGAGTGTCAGAAACAACATGTTTCGACTGATATGAGTTTTCGTACGAAGATGTTGATCGAGGGGTTTCTGTCGTCTCAATCGAATTTTAGGTGCGAATTATGGGTGCTTGGAAGTGTTCAGCACCAGATCTTATCAACTTCAGCTCGGGTCCCCCTGATGGAAGAGCAGTTGTCGCAACAGTCGTAACATACTCATGATCGCGGTGAGCGATAAGATCATGTCATGACATTCCGCGATATGAACAGTCCCGGAGACTGACTCGATCTCATCGACAAATGCTACCGTTTATTCCGGGACAGAACAGCGGAGGCGCTGGTCAGGGCGGCTGAACATAACCATGCTCATGCCGATGAATGTTACGATATCCCCGATGGCGGCTTAAGTTCAAGCGAAAGGATTTCACAGCTGATTCCTGCGAGCTCGCTCTTCCCACGCCTTCGTCAGCTTGTATCGACCGCATGAAGGCCACTAGGAAAGGACGAAATCGTGATATTCAACAATGAGACTATTACAATGACTTCCCTGGTTGTGTTACAGAGCCCGTATCCAGTATTGTTCTATCAATATGGCGAGAAGACACAACTCCGCTATCTCAAATCAATGAGCTCCGCCCGAATCCAAAGCGCGCAAGGCGCCTTTCCGATCTGAACTGTAGCTTCCCGTCGCAACTCACCAACCCTCAGCTACATATATGTATATATGCAGCCAATCACGATTCGATGCCGTAGGACAGAATGGATTAGGATTTGCGATTCTGTGCGCGAGACTTCCTTCTTTGGCTCTGTAACCCAGCTTGCGGTGCCGGAGTGACGGAGTCAGCAGTTGTCAGTGCATGGGTACCTATTTTAGTCAGGCTCTGGGCTCAGGCCAGGTTACCTGTAGCCTTCACGGCCGAGCTACACTAGGACATGTCCGTGAACGATTTCTCACAATCCGTTGTTCAGATCGTGAGATTGGCGATTATGTCAATAAATGGCAAACAGTAGATGAGTCAAGACAAGAGGCAAGGTATGGAATAGACATATCATGACTATAATCCATGAGCTATTGTGCCTAGTATTGCGATGCTACATACCGGCCCACTCGACGGTGAAGGCACGAACACTAGCATCTTTGCCTTCCTCATTCGGCTTCTGTTCTTCGCCACCAATGAGGAAGCCCTTCTTGACACCAGTGCCCAGGCGGCCGCCACCAACAATTTTGAGCAGATCGAATTCTTCATCCCAGTCCACGCCATTTCCCAAAAAATGTGCATGGAAGCGAAGAGGGTCGCCAGGATATGCCGTGTATTGACAACCAAAACGTATGCCTGGTAGCATGAAGTATCCATTTCCATGCAAGTGCTTGTACAGAGGATATGAAATGGGCACTTCCGGCAACTCAGCGTGGTCTGGTTTCCGAGACTTGAGTGGCGGCAGCGAAGTGGTCGGAGTGACACCAAACGGCTCCGGTACGACTGTTGAGCTCGCAATAGAAGTAGTGCGCACTATGTTGGACGAGCCTTCAGACGCGTTAGCCGGCGCACCGAATAGCAGCTCATCCTTGTCGACAGTGTCAGCAGCAGATTCTACCTTCGGCGCCTTCTTCTTGCGACTAGGACCAGCGGTGAGCATGTCCTCTGGAATATCGTTCCAATCTCCTGACGCGGCTGGCCTAGGCTGTTGCTTGGACAATGCAGCTTTGGTCCGGTCCTGGGCTCTCTTGCCAGCATCCAGCGCGGCACTCTGCCCTTGTTTGCGCAGCGCCGCCTGGTATGCTCTTCTTTCGTCCTCATTGAGGCCATTCCCCATGAAATTACGCTTGTGCTCTGCTGTGTCGTCTACGATGTACGCGACATTCTTCTCAACGAGCAGCCGTGCTTCCTCCGGCATCAACTCATTCGGCAACCCCAGGAAGACATTTTGCTGTGAGGCTTGTGGCAGAGTTCCAATCTGGACACCGAGAATATTGTGCTCTCTTCTGAGATATGTCACATGGTTGACATCGTACAACACATATCGGTGCGCGACCTTGTAGATGGGGATGGGCTCGGTGACCGCAGTGGCAGCTGGAACGGCAGCCATGATTGTGTTTTCTCGAGCTACGATAGCTGCAGCCAATGTCAGCGCACTGTCCCACGCCGGGGAATCATGAATGGAAGTGTGTGAGGGCTGATATGGGATGTCATAAAGAGCATAGCAAATTATTTCTCGTCACGTTGTAGCCGAAGCTTCAGGGGATTGACAGATTATAAAGAGTGTTTAATCATGTAAAGTAAGAGGAGAGGAGAGACCGGAGGGGTGATACGTACGTGAGAGTGCTGCGCCCGTACCACGAAGGTCGAGCTGGTCGCTGTTTGTTCAGCTCTTCATTTTGCTCGTGGGAGAAGCAGGTGGAACGGTGAGTCTCGAGCGAGAAGGTTTCAGAGGCAAGGCGCGGCACGCTCGGACGCTTCGTTCCCGTTGCTTGGCATTGCGGCCATTTTCTCTTCTCCGGCAACACAGCCTTTCCACTACCTCCTACATGTGTTTTGCACAAACTCATCCACACCACTCCCACCCTCACCATCACCACCACTACCGCCACCACCAATGGCCATTCCAAGACCGCCCAGGCCTGACTGAGGTCTTTTCAATACGCCGCAGCGCTCTTGCGAGAACCTCCCCAATGCTACTACGCCTTCACTGGCCAAACGCACTGGCGGCTTTCTCCAGCCTACACCCATCACAAATCTCTCATACTCCGTGAGCTACATGTAGTTGGTGAGTTCGAGTCTACGTTCCGCTTCTCCCATCTGATGATCTCAACACAATTATGTTCCTGCGAGTCGTGTCAAACGATAATTCATGAGCTCGAACAAAACATGCATCACCATCTGACTTCCAACACATGTTGTCATGTTTTGCACGCAATCTCACATGCATTGAGCACTGCTGATCATGATACAGTGGATCTGGCTGTCGTGTCTCGACTGAATCACCCAGACGACGAAACGACACCCGCTGTGAAGCATCTGCCTTTCGATGACATCTGGTATGTACGTCTGCACCGCCCTCCCTTCCCTGCTTTCATGATGAATGGTTTTTTTTTCAGTTCTGCTTCTGAACTAAAATGTCGATAATAAACCTCTTACCAAAAATTTATCTGATCTGAGCAATCTGCCACCGCACACGCTTCTTGAAATTTGCCTGCGCGAGACGCTGACGTTATTCACAGATCATGTCGCCCCGATGAGACTGCGCTAGTCACATACCACTACTGTCCACCCATCGTTGGCGGCGCACGACGGCCTGCGCGCGCCCTCATGGTAAGCCCAATGCGGTTCCTTTTTTTGCCCCCTATGTTCTATGATGACACCTAGTCTATCCATTCAACGAACTTGATGTAGCCATGCCTGCCGAGTCACCCTCCCTATACCGTACCATCAAAGCTTTGGCCGAGATGGGAGGATCGGTTGTGGAGTTGTAGTAGCATGTGAAGCTTCGGCTGATCCTGTGGCTTCGTAATGTGGTTTCAGAGCATCAAACCATGCCATTTCGTCTTGAGTGGCATCGGCGAGATGCCGGTGGGCGGGCATGCGTAAAACCGGCTTGTCTGAGCACACATCTCCTGCAGCACTTGCTTACTTGAAGACGCTGCAGAGCCCACGCTGACTCTGATTCAGCTTTGTGGTCAAGAGAGAATTCCACAGCTCACATGCATCTTCGAGCCGACCCTCGACATTCGTCTTCTCGGAAAAGTCTGACCTTGAGAGATCGGAGGGCCAGAGCGACCACTCAACTCCTGGGTGATATGTCGGAATACCGCAAGAGGTGCTCGCATCATACATTCAGGACGCGATGTTCAGTTGTTTGACCAGCCATGGAAAGCATATCTTTTCACAGCGCAGAGGGCGACGCGTTCGGAACGTGGTAGCTCTCAGTGATGATGAGAACATTCGGCGTTGGACAGCGGAAACAGGGGGCAGTGGCAATGTCGATCGCTTTGAGTCTTGGCCTCACACCTCGTAGAAAGTCAAGGGGAGAGGAAAGGGCACAGTGTTTGTGACTTCGTACATTCGAGGATCTGTAGTCTGTACATCATAATCACTCTTCTACTGCGTTCAGCTACCTACATATACTGTTTTGTGTCGGATCTTCTGGAAGCACGTGGCAGCTGAGATAGCCTTCATCTCCGCCACTGGTTCCGTGCGGCGCCCACGCGGACTTTGCCAAGACCACCGTATGTGCGCTGAGCATAGCAAGAAGCGCATTGAAAATTTCATGCCGTGCATGGCTCGTACTGGCTCTTGGAGCTTCAAAGATGGGCTGTGTTCTTTCGTGGTCGTTGGGTGCTTTGGTGATACTCCCGTATCCCGTGTCGTGTGGTGCCACCACATTCGAGGGCTTGCGGCCAGGGGCCAGTTGATAGAGTTTGATCTCCCGCAATGTTATTCAACTTCTTAATTGTACGAACTTGTACGAAAAGCACAATAATTCTTTCATACCACCACCCATGGCACATCCACCGCTTACATGCGCTTGAATCTCTCGCGTGATCGATGCGTATTACATGTACCTCTTGACTGTGCCAAGCACGCGGGAATCCTCAGCTGAGGAGTGACGCCGACAACACGTTTCAAACACAGTGCGCAATAAAACCCGCCGGCAGTTGCAGCGACAACCTGGAAATCAAAGGAGACGAACAGCATCACCACCACCACATCACCACCACCACCACCTCCACCACCTCCACCACCACATCGCCGGCACTGCCTACGGCCACAGCGCATCGTCTCTGGGTTCGCAGCCGAAGTGCTTCAACGGGCCTCGAGCTGGCTACCAACAAGCTCAACAGCTCGTTAGACACATGCTGCCCCTACATGTCAAGTCGGATCATCACGAAAAGATGAACCGGCAGCCTTTCAGCAATGGTGTGCCCAAGGGGTCCGGCGCATACCCGATAGGCGGCAGCGGGAGAAGAGGCAGCAGCGCATTTAATATTCGACCTGACAAATATGAGAAATATCAGCCTCGATCAGCGCGAGGGAGGCGGCGTGGGGCGGCGATGCGGGTCGGGGGGGTCTTCACAGCTGTCCTCATCGTCCTGATGTTCTTCTTCCCATCTCTGCGACCTGCTGGCCTACTTGGTGGGCTCGGACTGGCGGCGTGGAGAGGCGGCGAAGAGTTCAATATTGAGACGGTGCGATATTACGACTTGGCCAATGTCGGGGGAACATCAAGGGGGTGGGAACGAGAGGAGCGGATTCTTCTGTGCGCACCTCTCCGAGATGCAGCACCGCATATGCCGATGTTCTTCTCACACCTCCGGAATCTGACATATCCACACCACCTCATTGACCTGGCATTTCTGGTAGGAGATAGCAAGGATAGTACTCTTACCATCCTTTCAGACATGCTAGCAGAGCTCCAGGCGAGCGAGGAGCCCAAAATGGCATTTGGCGAGATTTCGGTCATTGAGAAGGATTTCGGGCAAAAAGTGAACCAGGATGTGGAGAGTCGACATGGATTCGCTGCGCAAGCAAGTCGGAGAAAAAGCATGGCGCAAGCACGCAACTGGCTTCTTTCAGCTGCTTTGCGGCCTACCCACAGCTGGGTCTACTGGAGGGATGTGGATGTCGAGACGGCACCTTTCACCATTCTGGAGGATCTAATGAGACACAACAAAGATGTCATTGTGCCGAATGTATGGAGACCTCTGCCAGACTGGCTGGGAGGAGAGCAGCCATATGACTTGAATAGTTGGCAGGAGTCCGAGACCGCACTGGCACTTGCAGACACGCTGGACGAGGACGCGGTCATCGTGGAAGGTTACGCGGAGTACGCGACCTGGAGACCGCACTTGGCTTACCTTCGCGATCCCTACGGCGACCCAGATATGGAAATGGAAATCGACGGCGTTGGTGGTGTGTCGATCCTGGCCAAGGCCAAGGTATTCAGGAGTGGTGTTCACTTCCCAGCATTCTCCTTCGAGAAGCATGCGGAGACTGAGGGATTTGGCAAGGTGAGGATCGATCATTCCATAGGTGTGACTTGAAGATGACTAACACAACCACAGATGGCCAAGCGCATGAAGTTCTCTGTGGTTGGACTACCACATTACACCATCTGGCATCTATACGAGCCTTCCGTCGACGATATCCGGCATATGGAGGAAATGGAGCAAGAGCGAAAGCAGCGAGAACAGGAGGAGAAGGAGAAGCAAGATCGCCTAGACCTGATACAGAGCCAATTTGAAGAGGGCTCATCGCAATGGGACAAGGACAAAGAAGCTATCCGCGATGCCACGAAACAGGACGCCGCAGAGCGACAAGCCGATAATGACGCCACAAAGCAGGCCGAGGCAGAATCGTAAGTCCCGATTTGGATGACGATCAAGGCTGCTGGAGCACGGCGAGGAAGTTTACTTTGTAGCATTCGTGGGCAAGCAGGAGAGACCTGCCCGCTGACAATTTCCCGCTGCCACAGAAGCACAGAGTCAGATCAGCCAAACGAGCAGATGCATGAAGTCGAAGGCGGAAAAGTAAGGATCAAAGATCCACTTGAACAATTACCAGAGGTAAAGCAGCCACATCCCGTTTCTCCTCCTCTTCCACAACAAGCCGATGGCCAGCCGGCAAAGCACCCCGATGAGGCCTGACTGGGAAAGACGCACCAAATCATTGAATCAAGAAGGACGCTCGGAATGCTTCTGGAATACACAGACCCTGCTGTTGTTGCGCAAACTGAGCGCAACCGCCGGGGCTATCCAACTTGAACAAGGCGAGCGACCAGCATGCCTGAAGTCGATGACTGAAATATGACCACCGAGAAGAGGCTGTTGTCGCTCTTGCTGCTACAGCGCAATGCAAACTCGGCACACTCGATCCCATTCACGACTTTTCGCACTGTTCTGCATCGAGCAGCGAGAGCATGCATCTGCTTTGATCTTTACATCAGTTATCCACACATCTGCCTGCTTTCCTCGTTTGGTTTTCTCTGTGCTGTTCTCCCCACTCAGATGTGGATCCAGCACTTGTACCTCTATTTGTTTAATCGTTAGCTGTTTAAACCAAAAAGCATTCGTGTTCTGACTTGTTGCTTTTGTGCCTCTGGCTGCAGGGAAGCGATGCACTTGCGATGCCGAAGTTATCGCCCAAACGTGCTAGCGAGGAACAAAGGCGGAAATGGCAGGAGCAGAAGGATAATGAGAACAAGGCTAAGAGCCACAAGAAGACGAAGAAGACGAAGAAGAAGACGAAGACTAAACCTTCTCAGGAGAAGGAAAATTAGGTTGAAGAGAGGATGTAGCTCGTGGGAGACAAGGACGAGAATGAAAGACAGGAGGGAGATCCGCACACATCCGAACAAGAAGACGATGCTGTGCTCGCCGCAGCAGGAATGAAACAGAACTCAGGGGGGGCAAGTGTGTAGAGAATTTCAGGATGCTTTCACAACAATGGCCAAATTACATGTAGCCAGGCGTCGTTGTTGTTGTGGTGCAGCGAACCTTGTGTCAGAAGGATGGGAACAGCTATCAATGGGCCTGCGAACTGCACTTTATTCACTCAATGCGAGGGAAGCTTTCCCTTGCATGAGAGATGATGCACCCTCGTATTGCATGGCATATTCATATCAACTCTTTCGGCTTGTGGAGGGGTTGGCGTTGGGCAGGTGGATTGGAAGTAGAAGAAGAGCGAAGAGCGAAGGTTTCTGCACTGGCCTTTTGAGGCATTGGACTGGGTGGCATGTGCATAGAAAGATTACTGATCAGTGGTCCAAGCAGGCACCACCTATATGGCATCATCATCATCAAATAGCATACATGGAAAACACCACCCTGGTCTGGTCGCTTTCTCGGGGAATACCTTACTCTTAAGATCCTGATACTCCCCTGATAAGATCCTCCCTGAAGGGCCTGAACAGTCTTTGGGGGTCTGGAAGCACTTTCTAGGACAGCGTCGAACAGTCGCACCAAGGTATCGATCATCGTTGTACTCGACGTGCCTGGTCATAGAGCCCACGATGCCATCCATCTCCCTGGTTGGGCATTCCTCGTGTAAGAGAGTACATGGACAGTTCCCAACAAGTCATCGTGGTGATGTTGACTTGGGTGGTGGTGGTGGTGGTGGTATTGTTGTTGTTGTTGCCAGCTCTCTCTCTATCTCTCTCTGTCTCTCTCTTTGTCTCCGCAGCGGCAGGTTCCATTCCAACCATGTCCAACACAAAACTTCCCTAGATTGCAAGTGAGTAAAGTTTATTATTCTAGTTTTTACGGGAGAACAGAGTTCGCGAGAACAGAGTTTGGTCATTGGCCTGCTGCTTCATGAACATATGAAGGCCTTTGGCCCCCGACCCTGTATCTCGCTCAATCCGGTATTCCGGTGCTCTCGCCCGGTGGAGAGAGACGGTCGACCGGGAGAACCGCGGTCGGGACTGACTCGTGGCGCATGCCTGTCGATCGCATGGCGAAGAAGGCCGGATCAGAATGGCGGGACTGGGTCACGGCAAAGGACGGGGACAACCACTTTGTTCCACCAGCAATTCACTCAGTGGACACTCAGTGGCACTCACCATCGGTCGCATGGGCTGTTCTGCCACACGCCCCGTCCCTAGCTGGTATGCTCACGTCTGCGCCCCCCCCCCTCGACGAGGGCTCAATTAGGGCTTGCTGTAACCTCACGTCGCCAGAAGTTGCTCTAGTCCTTGACTAGCAAGGAGCCAACCTGAAGGGTCGCGAGTCTAAACGTTTCGATGCCACCTAGGTACAGTAACACATATACCTATCCTAGTGGAGGACGTCGATCGCATTATTTTATACTGTACCTATGCACACCATGTTGGCCCCATCCAATCGCGTCTTTTTCGTTTGGTTCGCATCGCATCTCGTGGACGACGATGGGTCGTGAATGTGTCTTGCATTGGCATCTTCTTCTGTTGTTGTTGTTGTTGACCTCATGCAGTGCTGCCAAGGTGTAGCACAGCAGCAGCAGCAGCAGCCAACCAGCCAGCCAGCCAGCAGCAGCAATACGGGGAGAGCTAAGAGCTGCCTGTCTTACCTGGCTGACAGTGGGACCGAGAACGAGAGCGGGTCGCGAGAATCATGCTGTCGTCGAGTACTGCACACCAGCAGTATTCTACTGCATTTGGGCCTGGGGATATCGCGTCCCAGCATCCGATGCTACATCATCACCAGCATACCCCAGGACTGGATGCGCTTGCAGAGGGCTCGCACTATGCGTTGCAACAGATCCACCAACAGCAGCAGCAACAGCAGCAACAGCAGCAGCAGCAGCAGCAGCAGCAACAACATCAACATCAACATCCACATCAACATCCACATCAACAGCAGCAACAGCAGCAGCAGCAGCAGCAGCAGCAGCAGCAGCAGCAAGCGCACGAGCTGAAAAGCAATGGCGACCGGCCCAAGATGAAGCACAGGCACAGCTACGGCAGCGCGAGCGCGGGCGGCGGCGACGACCACGCGGGGCAGGACGACGAAGGGATTGTCGCAAAGAGTGGCACGGGCAAGGCGGCCACAAATGGACAGCCCGTACGGCGGAGAATCAGTCGCGCATGCGACCAGTGCAACCAGCTGCGGACCAAGTGCGATGGACAACACCCGTGTGCGCATTGCGTCGAGTTTGGTCTGACGTGCGAATATGCGCGGGAGCGGAAGAAGAGAGGCAAGGCCTCGAGGAAAGACATCGCGGCGCAACAAGCTTCTGCCGCCGCGGGCGACAGTAGTAGTCCCAAGTCGGATGCGGGACGGCCGTTTGAAGATACTGCCATCGCGCCGAGGCCGCAGAGCGACAACGGTATACATGCAGCAGCGATGGGAAATGGGCTGAAGCGCAAGCGAGGCGGCGCAGACTTTCAGCAACCACAGCTCCCTCCGCCAAGGTCTACCAGCATGACGAGCCAGCCCCATATTCACTCGGTGCATGGACGACCGGGTATGGAGCCCGTTGGAGGGAGCGTTACGGGAAATGGCATACCGCAGAGGATGGTGCCAAGTGATCATGGCTCACTTCCCATTCCACGGGTCCCAGTCGCGCCAATGCACAAGAATCGGAGCATGCCAGTCGGTATGGGCGAGTATGGAAGCATCGATGACTACCATCGCAGCATTCTCCACCCGAGTGCTGGCACCGCCGTTGCCGGTCACAATATCCTCCATTCGGGGCCGGGAGGTATGCCGCACTCGATGATCCAAGGCGGGACCATCACCGGCTATGGCGAAAGTCCGTATGGCGTGCCTTCACCCAACAGTCAGCAGAGCATGCCTGGTCATCCCTATCACATGAATGGATCGCCCTTGTCTGCAACCTTCTTGCGACAATCTCCCATTGGGGGCTCACCGGGCTGGCTTTCTCTACCATCCCCCACGAATGCGCTCCATCATCCCATGCAGTCTCATTCCCCGATCCAAACGCTACGATATCCGGTCCTTCGACCACTCTTACCGCACGTCTCGGCCATTATACCCATCAGCCTCGCATGTGATTTATTGGACCTATACTTCGCCAGCACGGCTCAAGCATTCATGCAGCCGCGGTCGCCATATGTGATCGGTTACATCTTCCGCAAGCGATCTTTTCTGCGCCCCGTGAATCCGCGGCCATGCAGCCCTGCCTTGCTTGCGAGTATGCTTTGGGTGGCTGCTCAGACCAGCGAATCTGCTTTTCTGACTTCTTCTCCCTCCGCGCGAGGGAAGATTTGCCAAAAACTGCTAGAGCTGACAGTCAGCTTGCTCAAGCCCCTTGTGCACACCCAAACAGACGGTTCACAGGCATACAGCGGCCACAACCTTAACAATGGCGTTGCTTTGGGTGGGTTTGGGGTGACACTACCCGGCCAGACACATGGCATGGAAGACGGCAATCCGGGCGCAAGTGCTGCACTCGATGATGTTGCCACGTACATCCACCTTGCAACCGTAGTCTCGGCCAGTGAGTACAAGGCTGCCAGCCTACGGTGGTGGAATGCGGCATGGTCATTGGCAAGAGAGTTGAAGCTCGGTCGAGAATTGCCACCCAATCCCGAGCACCCTGATGGGCCTGAAGCAGAGGCAGAGGCCACGGGAGAGGCATGCGCAAATGGTGCTGATCCTACGCAGCAGCCCGGTTATGTCTCTGAAGAGGAGCGAGAAGAGCGCCGACGCATATGGTGGCTGCTGTTTAGTGTGGACAGACACCTGTCGTTGTGCTACAACAAGCCGCTCTTCCTGCTAGATGTGGAATGCGAAGGACTCCTGCAACCTGATGACGAGGCGACATGGCAGGGCGACGAACACTATCCCGCGGAGAAACACATGGAGTCCAATCACTTCCGAAGGCGAGGACCAAGCTTTGAATGCACCGGATACAACCTCTTTGGCTTCTTTCTGCCACTCATGACCATACTCGGCGAAATCGTCGACCTCAACCAAGCACGGAATCACCCTCGCTTTGGGATGGTGTTCAAGAACAGCTCCGGCTGGGACGACCAGGTTGCAGAGATCTCGCGACAGCTCGAAGCGTACGGGAGAAGTTTGCGGGAGTTTGCAGCTCGAAATCTGCCACCTCCAGAGCCCACAGATGCTACTAGTGGCGCGAACGGTGCTCAAGACGACACCAGCCCGCACTCCGTGGCGACATCCAACTCGAATTCGCAGCGCATGACGGAAGCGGTCCTACAAACCAAAATCGTCGTCGCATACGGCACTCACCTCATGCACACCATGCACATTCTCCTCAATGGGAAATGGGATCCCATCTCATTGCTGGACGACAACGACTTGTGGATATCGAGTCAATCCTTCATCTCAGCCACGGGCCATGCCGTGTCTGCAGCGGAAGCCATCAATGAGATTCTGGACTATGATCCTGACATTTCGTTCATGCCATTCTTTTTCGGCATCTATCTCCTGCAAGGCAGCTTCTTACTCTTACTCATTGCAGACAAGTTGGGCGCCGAAGCCAGTCCGAGCGTTGTCAAAGCGTGCGAGACGATTGTGAGAGCTCACGAAGCTTGCGTTGTGACGCTCAATACCGAGTATCAGGTATGTTATAATGTTGCCTCTGACGAAGTATCCTTGGTATTCCGCACTAACACGTTCTTTTCTTTCGCTCTCTAGCGCAACTTTCGAAAGGTCATGCGCTCTGCATTGATGCAGGTTCGAGGACGATCTGTCGAAGACTTTGGTGAGCAGCAATTGAGAAGACGAGAGGTGCTCTCTTTGTATAGGTGGACTGGTGACGGTCAAGGCTTGGCTCTATGATGCCAGCATGGGGAGAAGTGAAGAGAGACACCTTTCAACTTTCTGACACGATTTTCCATGGTGACAAAATTTCAGTGGATGCGCAAGATTTTTTACACGTCTTTTTGTATATACGAGCCTATGTGCTTTTTTTTCTTCTTGTTGTTTATGTTTTGGAAGCGTTAGGGTGGGGGGAGAACGTGATGTCTGATACAATATACCCCTGGAGCGAAGCAACCAAGCAAAGCACATGCTGTACACAAATTTATTCTTGTTTCTCCTTTGGTCTCTTTCTCTCTCTCTCTCTCTCTCTCTCTCTCTCTCTGTCTGTCTCGCGGAACACAGTAAGGATCACCACTGACCATTCCCTATCCACCGTCCCCCGAAAATGGAAAACCACCAGGTACATAAACCAACACATCCCAATAAAAATGAAAAAAGAAAAAGAAAAGAAAAAGAAAAATCACAACAAACACCCCTCTCAACTCTCCTAACAACTCTCAAACGAAACCTGAAACTCCGTCACAATCCACCCCGCATCCTCATTCCTCCTCAACCCCTCCTCCACAGCCTTACTACAATGCATCGTATGCTCCAACCTCCCCAACCTCGAATTCGGCCTTCCCATCCCCAACCAAGCGCGATGCCATCTCCTCATCAACATGGCACAATGCCAACGATGTTCCTCCCAAGTCGTCCACACAGTTTTCTCCGCATCATACCAAGCCAATTCCTCCTCGTTCCGAAATCTCTGCGTCCCAGCCATATCCTTGAAATAGGGAAACGCGCCTCGAAGGCGTTGCGGGGAAGTTATCCATGTGCGGAATTCGGAGAGAGAGGCGGTGTCGATGCAGTGGGATGGTGTCCAACTTCCTGCTAGGAGGTCGAATTTACAGCCGAGAGAGAGGGCTTGGGTGGCGTTTGAGCCGCAGTGAGAGGTTAGAGGGAGGGAGCTTGGGAGGATTAGAGTTGGGGGGCGGAGGAGGAGGGACCAGAGGAGAAGGGGGAGGAGGAAAGTTAGGAGGATGAGGGTGGATGGTGGAGGGGTGAGACGGTGGGGGAGAAAAGTGCGTTTGTTTGATCGTTTTTTGGAGGAGGTGGTGGACGGGTGGTGTTCTTCGTCTGTGATGATTTGGGGTTTTTGTTCGGGATCGAAGTCGTCTGAGTCGGATTCTGCTGCTGCTTCGCCACGCGAGTAGGGATAGTCGTGGTGGAGAGGCGATTTTGGTACGGGGTCGTAGGTCCTGGAGGAGTAAAATTTCACGGTTAGTTTCCTCCTCCTCTTGACTATGAGGAATGACAAATTTGCACTTACGGTGAAGACATGATATTGTTATTCTTATTGATCCAACTCCATATATAGTTGAAGTTTACGAGTCGCGAAAAGCGCTTGTAGGTCAATTGGTTATCAGGTCTCTCGAGAAAGATGTGGCCCTGTCGAAGATTGAGAGGAGGCACAACAACAACAAAGAAATCACTCATCGTCAGTCGCATTTTGGGGAATGTCTATTCAGTACCCGAATCAGAGTCTGAAGACAAAGAATTTCTGTATACACCTAACCTAATAGTAGTAATAATCAAGTCATTTCTGGAGTTGGAGGTTCGATACATTTATCTGCCTGCCTGCCCTTCGTACAGTCAAAAGAATAGAATAGAATAATCGCAGTTGGGAAGTTGGGAAAGGGAGAGCATGTTTATTCTCAATAGCTTTTTGGCAATCGAATGGGACCTCTAGAGAGAAGAAGAAGTTTCATGTGACAGTGCCAAGAGTTATTGCGTAGTCATCATTCAAACCTACCAGGTAGATAGGAGTTTTTCTTTTTCACACATACAAAATGTATCAACTATCAACTCTTACATTCACTTACAAACAGCATCTCACGCTACCACTCAAAAGCGCCATCGCTGTCGTCTTACAATTTCATCATGGATACTCCTACGCATCAGGTGGCATGAGGATGCATCGTTGATCCCACCTCCTATTCCCATTGGTGGCGTGTCTCTCGCCAGCAACTTTTCCATCAGGAGAGAAAAATTGCTGCATTGCATTTGCAGTGTTCATTCGTGGCCTATCTTCGGTACCAGTTGTTCTACCGAGCTGTATAATGACATGTTTCGCTTCCCTATGGCAACTCTGGGGTTCCAACGTGATTATAAAGAAGTATTACCTCCTAGTATGAGGATTAATCAGAGTAGGTGGAGAGGGATATTATGGATGTGGGCTTGTGGTTTATTGATGGTATCTCTAAGCTGGTCTAAAGTTGTCTTCTTCTTCTTCTTCTTCTTCTTCTTACGCTGACACTACCTACAAGGTCATTCTCACGCCATCAGATCGTGGGGGTCGTATGTATAATTAATGACTGTTGGTCAGCAATCATCAGACCGAGTGAGACTAATATAGCGAGAAGAGCCCGATGCTATTCCTTCAGCATACTGTAATATATAAATGCCACCGCACCCTCGCAACAACTCCCAAGCATATCCACTCAACAGTAAAACGACCAAACAAATGGCCGCCGAACCTGACCAACAACCCCAAACACCAATCAAACTCTGCACCTATCCTCCTCCCCGCCTCTCCCCCACCGAAACCTTCAAAAGAACCTCTCAATACGCACAAGATCCCACCACCTATCTCCTCCAGACCCTCGGCAAAGAAGCCTTCGAATCCCAAAAACCCCGTCTCATCCTCCCCGACACAATCGACTTGGACACCTATGGCAAAGGCATCCACAAGCAAAATTTCGAAGCGAAAATCGCCTCCTTGTTCGGAAAATCTACAGCTCTCTTCTTCCTCACCGGCACCCAAGCACAAGTCGCCACTTTAAAAGTCCATTGTGAACGCGCCGGACGCAATATTGTCGCTTGGCATCACACTGCTCACCCGGAAATTGCAGAAGAAAGTAGTTGGAAATTTTTATATGGGTTTGAAAGAATTCTTCTCGGTCGTCATCCTAATCAACTCCCTACTCTCGACGAAATTCAATCCGTTTTGAATTTACCTTTACGCAGACGCCCTGCGGTTATTCTGCTGGAAATCCCTTGCAGACCGCTCGGATGTCAGACTTGGACTTTTTCGCAACTGCAAGTTATATCTGATAAGTGTCGAGAGGCAGATGTGGCGCTACATTGTGATGGGGCGAGGATTTGGGAGTCGGAAACTTTTTACAACTCCACCACCACTACCTCACCGTCACCATACAACGACCCTTCTTCTTCTTCTTCCATCTCCATCTTCCAAACCCTCGGCCCCCTCTTCACATCCATCTATCTCTCATTCTACAAAGCCCTCCAAAGCATCACAGGCGCAATTCTCTTACACAACGACCCAACTTTCATTCTCCAACTCAGCATCTGGCAACGTCGCGCCGGCGGAAACGCATATACTCTCGCGTACGAAATTGTCGACTGTGAAAGGGCCGTGAATGAAATTTGGGGCGGCGGGAAAACTTTAGAGAGGAGGGTAAAAAAGTTGAAGAGAGTTATTCAAAGGATTGGAGAGGAGGTGGGGAGGTTAGAAGAGAGTAGTAATTGTAGGAGGGGTGACGGGAGGGGTGGCGGTATATTTCTTTTTCAACCGGCTGTTCCTGTGACTTTTGAAATTAATACTTGGTTTGCTGCGGGTGGTGGTGGTGGTGGTGGGGATGGAAGGAGGAGGAGGAGGAGAGGATATACAGAACAAGAACTTCTCCAAGCTCGCGATATCGTACAAGAAAAAACTCATATTCGAGTTTTTGAAAAATTGGCAGAGGGGAAATTTCCTAATCAGATTTCGAAGGAGGAGAGGAAGGAGGAGAAGGAGGAGGTGGTGAGGAAATTGAAAAGTTTGAGTACTGCATGTACAACAGGTGTAGAGGAGGCCAGTGGTGGTAAGAGTGAGAGTGAGAGTGCACAACAGGCTGGGAACGCTACTACTGATGCTGCTGATAATGATTCAGAAAACCCCGAAAATCTTTCTGCGCATTATTTCGGATGGGGACTGAGTTCTTTAACAGAAAATTTGGATGATGAGGTTTTTGTCAAGGGCTATGTCGAGCTTTGGAAGGAGTTAGCAAAAATTGATAAGGGCAGGGAGGGAGGGAAAGGGTATTGATAGGTAAAGTGGGGGGGGGGGGGGGGATAAGTAAAACATTGCCTTAGATACTAGAATATATGCTGCCTACAATAATACCGACTCGAGCTTTCTGTTTCCGTCTGTTACGTTAAGTCGACAATATGCTACGATGAGGAAAAAAGATGCCCGAACTAGAGTTTTTGCGCTTGAATATTTCTATACATCTCCCGAATCGAGAAAAAAAAAAAAGAATAGAGCGAAGAAATGTAGAAGTCTTGTAGAAGTCTTGATTCGATAGAACTTATCCCGAATATACCGGTTTTTTTTTAGGGAGGAGGAGGAGGGCGTCTTGTAATAGTAATGAGATACCTCCTAGGTGTTTATAAGATCGTGAGAGTAGGAGGTATGTGGATTGTAGAAAAAGTCGAGGGGATCTTGAAATACTTCTGGGCTGTAATACTCTCTGTCTAGCTAGGTATTTAGGAGGGGGAGGAGGAGGAGGAGATGGTAAATCGGTAATTATCAGAAAAAACAGTGTAGTAAAAAGAAACTAACTAACCAACTAACCAATTCAATAGATACCTAAATAGTCCTATCCCCTCTCTCCCCTCTCCCCTCCTGTCAATATCACCATCACTATCACAACCATCAACCCCCTCTCACCCTCTTCCTCGCCATCACCCTCTCCCTCTCCCCTCTCCCCCATCTCATCTCATTTCAACTCAAACTTCAAACTTTCACCCCCTCTTTATAAACATTCCAACCCTGATAATGATTCTCCAAACTCTTATGCAAAGAATCCGTATACTCCACCATTCCCCCCGCCCAATTCAACGGTTCAACTTTTCTTCCGGGGATATTCGCTCCTTGATACCAGGATTTGGCGAGTGGGAAGAGCGTGGCGTTCCATTTTTCATTCCTAAAAAAAAGTCAGTGAAAATGTTTTTTTTTTGTTTTTTTGCGGGGCAACATACATCCTCCTACACCAATCCTCCTCCGCCTCCTTCTTCGCATCAATCCTCGTAATCCCGTCTTGCAGAACTTTCTTCATCATCTCCTCCACAAACTCCGCCTGAAACTGCGTACAACTCGGTCCATTCGAAAACGCCGTCGGGGCCTGCGGTCCATAGAGGAAAAACATATTCGGAAACCCGGGAATAGCAATCCCCATCGAAGTCCTCGTTCCATCCCTCCAATGATGCGCAATCGTCTCATCCTGCACATTTCGAATATTCAATTGCGCGAGAGAACCCGTCACGGAATCGAATCCCGTCGCGAGAATTAATACGTCGATTTCTTTGAGTCCTAAGGGTGTTACCAGACCTTTTTCTTCGACGGTTTGAATGGGGTTGGTGTTGAGGTCGATGAGTTCGACGTGGGGTTTGTCGATGACTTCGTAGAAGTTTTGTTCGAGAGAGGGGCGTTTGGTTCCCCAGGGGTGAGGTTTGATTTCAGGGGCGAGGATTTTTTGTTTTTCCGGGTCGGTGACGCGTTTGAGGACGGTTTTGCGCCAGAAATTGTAGGCTTCGTCGTTGGCGGCGTTGTCGAAGAGCATGTCGTCGTAGGTGTTGAGCCAGTATTTGAAACCGCCTTCTTGGACGAGTTGTTTGTGGTAGAAAGCTTCGCGCTCTTCGGGGGTGTCGTCAAAGGTGTTTTTGCCGATGAAGTCGTAGGTGAAGCCGGAAAAGGTGGAGCGGGTGTCTTGGATGGCTTTTTCGTAGGTTCCGTCTTTTTTCTTGCGCTCTTCTTCTTCGGGGTCGAGAGTTCGCTGGTTCATGGGTAGGCAGAGGTTGGGAGTTCGGATGTAGACGGTCATTTCTTTGACTTTGGGACTGAGGTCTTGCACGGTTTGAATGCCAGATGCGCCTTGTCCAATGACAGCGACACGCTTGCCACGGAAGTTGACGCCGTGTTGTGGCCATTTGGCAGTCTGCGGAGGAGAGAATCACATCAGTACATGCATATCATCACATCAATTCCATGTCAGCATTAGGTATACTACTCACGTGGTACACTTCTCCCTTGAAGTTACTCAGACCGGGAAAGGGTGGCGAATAGTGCTTCGAAGCAAATCCAATGCATGGCATGAACCAACGAGCTTGAATCTTGGTCTCGTCGGAGGATTCAATGGTCCAGAGATCCGTCTTGGTGTCAAAGGTGGCAGTGTCTACGCACTTGTTGTACGTCGTGTACTCGCTAATGTTCCACTTCTTCTCGACGTGCTGAAAGTACCTTCTCAGCTCAGGCCATGCGGGATACCTCTCCTTGTATGTGAAGTCTTCCCAGAGCTCTTTATCGAATAGTTGGTAGATGGGCGTGTCCGAGTCCACTCGCTGGAATCAGGTCAGCTTTTTCTTTTCGTGTCTAGCATTTTGTCTTCAAGGCAGACACATACAGCGCCAGGATAGCAGTTCCAGTCTAGCAGAACATCATCAGTGAGGATCGCAGCAGATTATATCTTTATCGACGTCACTTACACCAAATTCCACCACTCGCTGCACCCTTTTCGTAAATCCGAACAGACAGACCGAGCTTTCGTAGTCTGTTCAACAATGTAAAGGATGCGAAGCCCGCTCCAACGAGCAAGACATCGACATATTCGATCTTCTCTTCTGGCATAGAACCCATCTTGACAGGAGAAGGTTTAATTCGAATGGAAAGACTGGGAGAAAAGACAAGTTTCCGCTTAATGGTTGCAACAACAACAACGACAACAATAGCAGCGGAAGTCTACAACCTCTGAGGGACGGAGGGAGGGAGCTATATGAACATATATGGCATGCCGGGGGACTCCCACAAGCACCACGATTCCGCCTGGAGAGAGGGGCAAACCCGCTCAGAGGCGTTTTTGAGACGAAGTCTGGTCTCTCCTCGGACCACAAGCAAAGAGAGACGACATCATGCAGGCTGCAGCGAGATTCCCCAGGTGATGAAAGCGGTGCTTGAACAATAGGAGGAATGTGGGGGGCTCCGCAATGTCTGAGGGCGTGGATGCCATAGTGATTGGCTCGCAAACGCGGGGATGGTGTAGATCTGGGGCAAATCTTGGGACAGCACCAATACTAAAGGGGCAGTAGTCTGGAAAGACTGAACCCGGGGACATGGGAAGTTATTCTCAGAAGTTTAGTAGAGCTGCCTGTCATACTTTGTTTGTTGTTTGTTAATAGACTAGACCCCCTTTTTCGGAATATGTTGCACAGGTGTGTTGATGATGTCTGTTGCGTACGCCCGTATGCAACGATGTGCACTGTGCTTGGCGAAGAAGTCTGACGATCAGAGAGTCAGCTGACCGTGGGAGAGTGCCTAGGCTTGCCTTTTTGACAAATCTGGATATCTGGAGAGCTGCCAGCAGGGAGGGGAGAACATCCCACTCCCAAATTTGTCATACCGAACCGGTTTTGAAGTCTCTACGCTTGTTACACAAGTAGAATCCGTTTGCGAAGAGGGCAGCTATATCCGTCTGTTATCAAGTTATCTTAGAGTCTACTAGGAGTAACACTATACGATACTTAAGCGGACCTGCTAGGCTATAGTGCTTTGCTTGCAATGTATGCAGGCTTACGGCATATTAGCTCTTCTAGAAGCAGGATGCTATAGCACGTAGCAACGAACTATTCGGACCCCGGCGTTGTTAGCTATAGAGCAAGACCAGGTAGGTATATAACTATGTCTAGCGAGAAAGTTAGCTAGAATCTCTAGTATAATATAAAATCCGAGCAGTATAATAGATCTGTATCAAAAGTGAACGGCTACGCAAATCTTGGTAACGAGCGGTAGCTACGATATAGTCCTGTCGATAATGCCGCCTAGATTAGGATCGAGCCTCTAGAGGAAGCTAGGAAATACCTCTTCTTTCAGCTCGATGTTGAGTATGCTACCCCGAATATAGCATGAAGATTACTATGTATACAATCAAGAGTCCTCTTTAAATCGTAAAGACTTTCCCCTCTAAGCTTTGTTCGACATCTGGTCCGAGCGTCAAGAACACAACGCTGCCAGCACCCTTCTCCTCCTCGTCCCCAACTTTTGACTCTTTCCGCTTATTGTATTAACAATAAGTATCTATCAGTCCTGCGAGCTTTATTCTTCGGCACAGACTACATTGCTAGAGATAAGTAAGTAATCCGCGAGACATTTTTCATACGAGCGACATACTTCTCGACTACCAACCACAGCGGGAAAACAGGAAAAAGGACAAACGAGCAGCAGCGGAGGGAAATATATACCAATTAATTCAGCAGAGCAGTCTACGAGTCAAACTTCTCACTGAACACCCTCCCAACACACCGACTTTGCTTATCCCCAAATCACCCCTCTCTTCTCCCCCTCCCCATCCTCCTAAGGAAGTAAAAAACCACCCCCCTACGCAACCCCCGTCGACAAACTCTCCTTAACAACAAACTCCTTCTCCTGCTTCCCCGCATCCGGTCCCGTAGCAGCAAACACCTCTCTCTCCCCATAATACTTATACACCGCACTATTCTTCGGCCTCTGCACTTCATACTGCAATTTCAGCTCATTCGTATCCTTCACAATGTACGCATACAACTTTTGCGTTTTGCTGACGTAGCCGCATTCGACATAATCTGTTGTGGAATCCAGGCTGCCGGAGCATTTGACGGGTTTTTTGACGGCGGGGTGGTTTTCGGCGGACCCCGTTACGGCGAGGTCGAAGTTGTAGGAGCAGTTTACGGTGCAGCCGAAGACGAAGTTGGTGATGGAGAAGGTGCCGGGGGTGAGGTTGGTGTTGGAGGACTTGGGGTAGGAGTTGGTGTTGGTGTTGCTGTAGGTGGATGGTTGGTTTGCTGCTGCGAGGGTTGCGCAGGTGGCGGCGATGAAGGTTGGGAAATGCATTTTTGGGAGAGGTGGTTGTTGTTGTTGTTGGTAGTGGTGGAAGAGGAAATTCGATTAAATCTTCTGGTTGCTGATTTACTGTCGATGGTTCTGAATGTGAGTTCTGATGATTTACTGAAAGGGAGACATTGAGCAGCAATATATATCCCCTCCTACCTGCATACCTGCATACCTGCATACCTCCTACATGCACATGGAACCTGACGGAAGAGCAAACGACACATAGCATGGTCGATAGTTGCCCCATCCAGCCTGGTGGAGTGGGCACTTTGTCTCCGGGCACGCATCAAACACCGTATAGGTATAATGACAAAAGCTCCGGGGGTCTCGATATAGCAGCAGTTTGGCAGTAGTACGAAGCCATCGTTGGTGGTTTGTGTGGGTTAGCATGTCTTGTGACGCCAGTGTGGAGAGAGTGGCGTGCAGTAAACGATGCAAAAATAGGTTGCCACGCCGGGAATCGAGGCAAAGCGCGCCAAGATGTGGTAGTATTCACATATTGGTAGTATTGGTACCTTATTACATCGCCTAGTGGTGGTACGCTGCTCTGCATCTGCTTCTTCATCATCATCATCATCAGACAACTTGACTTTCTATGCATCATGCCGTCGTGACATCCGGATATTCGTATTCCATATAATGCCATATAATAGCCCACGGAGTGAATAATGTCCGTGGTGAAGCTAATGTATCATCAGTGAGGAGGACACGCAATCAGAACGAGACAACCTCCACGACAAGGAGGTTGTCTCGACTCCTGGCTGCCTGAGAGACGAGAAGACGCGTAGACATTGAAACGGCTGTGTATGTGTGTGTTTGGGTCAGACCAGACCAGATCCGGCTTTGGACGCTAAATATCTACCGTGAGGTACCGGATGCTTCCACCAAAAACGAGCCGGCAGGACCGAAAGAGAAGTTCGGATGTGTTTCGCTTCGTCGCGGAGGGAGAGTGAGTGGATTGACCACACAGGCACCGGACTAGCTTGCTGTTGCACTCTCCTTTCGAACGAGGAAGTGAAGTTGGAACAGCTAGACCTGGTAGGTAGTGATACGGTTATTATACCTTGATATACCGGCCAGGGGGGCAGCCAATGGCTAGGGATGTTGCCCTAAGTGGTTAGAATGCCCTTGGAAGATAGGAAGCGGGTTTCCCGTCTTGGCTACGACTGTCCTCCATGTTCATCTCACCGCCCTTATCGATCTTGAACATCTCGCCACTCTTTACAGACATTGCCTCTTGTGCAGAGAGAGAGAGAGAGAGAGAGAGAGAGAGAGAGAGAGAGAGAGAGAGAGAGAGAGAGAGAGAGAGAGAGAGAGAGAGAGAGAGAGAGAGAGAGAGAGAGAGAGAGAGAG